CCTGAGGTACAGAAAATTCCCATGTTTTGATTGTTGACTTCCTCCCTGGCTGGCGTTTATTGCCGCAGACACCATCTAGTGTCCCAAATCACCTTACACCCTAACCACGGCCACCAGGCCACCACAAATGATTTAGTACCGTAGCGTACTCTACCAAGATCTCTGGAGGATTGGCAGCCAGTAAGGCCTAGAGCCATCTCAAGCTAACAACGTGGTCAGATTATAGAGCTGTGATGATTACACATTGCACGTCGAAGTCCGAAAACCACTCGCTCGTCTAGCCATCGATAAGAGCCAGCCAATCGTAAAGGATGTTGATAGTCTTCTTTGGGCTCAAGGAAGAGTGAAAAGCGAAAGGATCAGCCTCGGCGCTACACGAAACACTTACGAGGCATCTACCGACCGAGCTGTCCTCCCGTCAGGCAGGGTAGTACTGAGGTACTCGTACCTTAAACCAAGATAAAGCTTGCACGGACAAGGCTGTAGAGACTAACAGAACTGAATCACTTTCACATCTTCAACTTTTCCAGGTCCTGCTTTCCATCAGTCTCCAGTCCTAAGCAGTCCTCGCCAAGGTTGAGGGAGACGCGGTAAGCCCATGCAGACATTTGGAGAAGGACCATTGTCACGCTTCTGTCTGCGCTCCTTTCCCATTAATGCAACCTTATGAGCACGATTTGAAGTGAGCGGACCGGCCATCAGGCCAGGAAGCGGGCTGAATCGCCCAAATCCTACCTCTCACGCCTATCTCGCCAGAGCCTCCCAGCACTTCTGTGGTCTGATAGCCCCTTGGCTCTCTGAAGCTAAGCGTGATGATCGTGTTTTGAGGTCGCCGTGCATCTGATATGTGCCGTTAACGCTGAAGATTCGTCGCGCACCTCACTTTCCTGCCACCATGCTTCTCAATATCGTTGGCTTGTTTCGATTTTTCTGCTACTGTGTCCCTCGTTTGAGGTCTTTGGCAGGTTGAGGTCATCGTGCGTCTGACGAGTACTATTGACGTGGAATTGCACACCTCACCTTCCTACCATCATGGATATCAATAATCATCTTTTGTTTCGAATTCTGCGCAATTGTGTCCCTTGACCAAAATCCTTGACAGATCAAACATTCTTTTCCTCAACATACCTAGGAGAGAACCCTGCTCCTTTAGTAGTCATGTCCCCCTCGGCGGGTCTACATTCAATATTCAAAATCGGAGGATAACAGGCATGACCTCCAAACGAGGGCAAGTTGTGTTGTGGACATATCTCGCTATACTCATATGTCTCTTGTTTACATTGTCTTGCATTAGCATATTTGCTTGTTCACCTATCGCAACAGCCTTCACGTTGCAGACTGTCGCCAAGGTCGCCAATCCTCGATCCATCAAACACTGAGTAAAAAGGTCTGATAACAAGACTCCTCCATATCATCACGAAATGGTTTCCGTTACGCTGAGCTTCAGCGCCCGGTGCAGGGCTATGGGAACGGGGTGCCTCTCGAGTAGCGATATTGTGATCGAAATTGCGTGAGAAACGGAAGGCGCTGGTTTTCACGCCGCGAACCAGTCTCAAAACACATCAAAATCGGTCTTCGGCTACCTAACCTAACACCCCGACCACCCACCCTACAGTAACATTTGAAGTAATCATAAATGTGTCATTTCCGTAAGATAAAGTCATGTCCGTAGAGAAGCTAAAATCTGGGAGACCAAGAAATCAGGAAACAAAAACCACCATCATGTACATACTACTACGCAATGTGACATCCTAGATCTAGGTACAAGATCTTGATACATGATGAGATCAATCGATGCTCCATATGTCTTTGAGAAGACATGTCTGCCGCCTACCGCTCCGTCTCAAGGCCCCAAAGGACCACGTCTGGATCAGCGAAGATGTCCTCAACAGTGCAATGCACCGCTTTGCGCATGGCAGGATACCAAGACGGCATGTGGGTCTTGCGCCTGGTCCTCTGGAGGCACGGAAAAGAGCATCGAAGCGGCGCATGATGAATCTTGCGCAAGTTGGAGATGGTGGAGGTTTCGATCCGAGCGTGCTTCCTGGATTAGGAGCGCCAGAGCGTGCGGAGTGGAAATGGCAGAGCCCTACGCTCCTTCTACCACAGAGACCGGATGGTATATGGAAGCTGTCAAGTCCAATGGCTTGCTAATATGCTAATTACGAGCAGAAGCCGCGCCCCTACCATCTTGGCTGACGGACCCTCCCCCTATTGTGGCTGATGAGCGCGTCGAAAAAACCAAAAAAGACGAGGACATCGAAGGTGTTAAGAACGAAGAGGACCTCGAGCAGCGACATGCACATCTTCGGCGCAAAGGCTTGCTGGTAAACCCCGGGTTCTGGGAAGACTTGAAGAAATGTAGGGATGTCGATGGCCTATACAATTGGGCTGCTGATTACGGCATCGACTTCCGGATGTTTCCCAAGCTCGTGTTTTCAAGCCTGTGCCATGCTGGACAGCCACTTCCGGTTCTATTACATGCACTGGAAGATGCGGCTCTGGGCACCCCTGGCAATTTGAATTTCCTACTGGATTGGCAACTACGAAAAGGGGAGCGCGAGGGACGACTACGGATTAGATTAAAATCTGATGACATGATTCTCCTGCAACAGTGGATGAGACGGCAATTGTACCTTGGCCTGAAGACCGAGAAGGACATCCTCGTATTCTTGAGATTCGTATCCCGTGTCAGTGATGCCGCCAGTGATGAATCTTTGAAGTGCAATTTCATAGCATCCATCGTTGAGGGCCTCCAAGCGAGTTCGGTATTTGGGTTCAAGGATTTGGGACCGGAGACACAGTCTAGACTCTTAGAGTCTATCACACGAGGACCATTGACACGCCAATCGCTGGATCTGGGATCCAGCTTGATTGAAGCTATGCAGCAATCGCAGCTGGAGGGCACAGATCAGAAGATCTCTGCGTTTATTGGAGGAGTTGTCCATGCGTGCGCTTCACTACGGGAACACCAAAAGCGGGAAACACGGTTTTTGGAGGTAATGCCGAGGGCTCTGGAGATGATAGGGGGACTCCCACAAGAACTAGCATGCTCGGTTATTTTGATCACGACCGAGGCTTTGACTAATGATCATATCCGTATGCCTGCTATTAAGGCTGGTACGATGCAGCTGCTTTACACATGGTGGTCTGCAATTTTTATGACAAACATTCTTAGTTTTGGCCGAAAGATTCCTCTCAAGACGCAGATTGAGCTTTTTCTGAGCACTCAGGAGCCGAAAGTAGCTGTTCCATACTTGCAGCAATTGGATGACCCAGAAAAGGCCCGTTTTATACTTCGCTACTGGGTCGGACCCAAAACGCGATCTGGTCGATCTCGAGCTCGGTATCTTTTCGATGGATTCTGTTCTACGAAGGGGACAGACTCGCCTTGGGTTAGCATGTTTCAAGCTGCACGCAAGTGTGCTCAAGAGTCCTCGGAACCGTTGGACGTCTGTATCAAACGAGTATTCAAGGTACTGCAGATGCTGCGTCAATCCGAGGCCATCATCGAGGTTATTAAGCAGGCCCGAAAGCTCCATGCTATCATTGATGAAAGCGACGTGGTGTACACGATCAGGGAGCATTCACGGGAACAGCCGCACCTAGCGGAGCGAATGTTCCACTTCTACCCAAGACTGCGACTCGAAAGGTGTCCCGAGCTTGCCGAGCGAATGATTCTAAACCCGAGGAGCCATCCAAGCACCGCGCTGTACTATATGCAGAGTCGCCGCTCGCGCTTCCCCGTGGACCGTGAAGGGGTTTCAAACTTCCGTATACAACTTCTAGACAGGATGGCGCTCGCCTACTCTACGGTGCTACATATAACTCCACGAATGGCGTTGAGGAAAGTACACAAATGCTATACTCAGCATATGAAGGAACGTCTAGGGCCACCATCAGTAATGATGGCACGAGCGCTTACTCGAGCCGGGCTTATCCGACCCCTTCAGGCAGGCCGATGGGTTAACACGACCCTAGTTCGATGGATCTTATCCGTTATTCGGTCTACGGAGAGTGCTGATGTGGCAGATCAAGTCGACGAAATAGTGTATAGGTGGCGTGCGGCTAATGCAAAGAAAATTCGAGCAGCTTCACTAGCCAATCGACGCGCTCGGTACTATGCAATAGAACATTCTATGGACTTCCGTGTTCGGACCAAGTGGTCCAATCACTATCGAGGCGATGAAAAGATTTACACGCCTTTAAAGAACCCCCTCCAGCTCGATTGACAGGCAGCGTCAATGATGCTAGAAGACCAGTAATGCCTTACCGGCTAGGCCAACCAATGGAACCTGTGCGTCCTCTGGCGGATCTCATAGTTCGATCCTGGGTTAAATGGAGCCCGTAACTTCTCAGAATCTCAAAGACAAGCTCTAACAACACTGGCTGATCCTTTTTTAAGACCTGTGCACATTCAGGTCCTTTTGTGCATGTAGGCTATGAGTTTAGATTTTGGAGTAATGACTGGTGGATCGACTCCGCGAAGAGGAGCAAGTGGAATTAGGTGGCACTTCTCCAATTCGTAAGATTCCACAGGGAAAAGGAGCGCGGCCGCACGCGACTAGGATATCGAGATCTAGATCGCTCTTGCCTTTGCACGAAAACCGTGAACCACACCTCCATCTCTGGGATCGTCAAGTGACTGACGCCCGGTAGACTATACAATAGAATTGGCGAGATTCCTCCTGCAAAGCGCTGCCCCAGTCGGTAACATACGTTGTACAATAGTCCCGTGGTGTGGTTACCAATCATCGGAACGATCGAGCCGCAATCGGATGCCTTCTCCCGTTACATCAGAGGCTTCATTGCTTCATCTCTAGAGCTGCGTCTAGGCATGACAGGAGGATCGCTGTGCGTCTTGAAGTACTAATGTTTCAAGACATCAATTACGAGATGTAGGATACATTATCACCACCCTTCCCTTATCGGAGTCCATCAATTTGTTAGTATTGTTCACGCAGGATGAAATGGGGATCTTGGATCAACGGCTATCCAGTATGACACGATCAACATCCTTACTTTACCAGCATTTCACTTACAATCCTCAAAACGCTCGGCACGGGTATTCCTGGAATTCTGTGGGAGGAAGTCAGATAATCTCCATTGGAGGTGTGGACTCCAATTCCAACATCACGGGTGCAGCCCCACCAGAAATGATCAGAAGTCCTTTTGACAGCATACCCGACCCTTTCGCTCAGGGGCTGGCAATATTTGACGTGACAACATTGAGTTTTGCCAATCAGTACACCGCCGGCGCCACAGTACGAGCAGCTGGAAGTGTTGAAGCAATTTTACGCACAATCACAACGGTAAGCCGAAGTGGTATAACTCCTCTGGGATGAAAGTCGCTAAAGCGTCGCAGGAGTTACTTATAACGTCTCACTCCAGGCGTTACAGCACTTTTGCAAATCACGCATTTCACAAATTCTATCTACAGTAGTTCGTCTCATCCCCTGGCCGTAATGTTGATACAAAAGTTCCTACTGACTTCAGTACTTAGCTTCGCCCAACATCACATCGGCTTCACCGTCCTCATCCGCTTCACCGCCCTTATTCCCAACAACCCATGCATCTAAGCATAGCGTTGGCGTCATTACGGGAGGCGTGGTTGGCGACGCCAGAATAGCCTTTCTCATTTCTGTGGCCGCCGTAATAGTCGAAACTCGTTTCAATGGGCGAAACCCACAACTGCGTCCGAAATAGCAAAGGAGCCTCATGGAGCAGACCTCAACGTGCTGGAGATGCATGAGGACGCTCGTCCAATCGAGCTCACTTATTTGGCCTTACAGGAGCTGAACGAGCAGAGCTTGCAGGAGATGGAGCAGCCAGGACCGCTTGTAGAACTCCATGCGCACAAGCCTTCGGAGATGCAGCTCAACAAAGACTATCGCGGAAACGGAAGGCTTCAAGCCAGAGATTCTGCTGTTGTTAAGCCAGTACGAAACGGAAACCAGGACCAGTCAGTCTGAAGAGATCCTCAGCTCTCCGACAGCACGGCAGCTATGCGATACGTCTTGTTTTTTGCACCATCATGCCGAGGAGGGGATTAGTTGATGTCACGATGCAAGATCGTGTTCCCCACTTCGCCGCATTAGCCTTTTCTTTTGTCGTTCTTTTGTTTACCCTTTCTCGATACATGTACACCCCTTCAGATCGGGTTAGGGAGTGTCCGCGGTTTTGGCTCAGCAACTTCGCCGGGGTCTGGCGGCGACCAGTCGTCCCCTCACGAACGAGTGCCTGAGAGGCACGCATACTCTAACGACGTTATATTCTCTTCGCCCCTTGTGATAATCTCGCCGGAGTACAATGATGTCAGATTGTCACGTATGTACGATCCATACGAAGTGCGAGAAGCGAAAGTTCCGGCGCGGCTCTTCCTCGAAGCATTCGCGGCCGTGCAGTTGAACTGCTTTGAGAGGCTGCTAGCTGGTACCGAGAGCTCCGGTTGATCTGCATTCCTCATTCCCCTCAAGTGGAAAAGAGACAAAACATCGAAGTTCTATACAGCGTCTCCCCAAAGCCTGAGGGTCTGACGCTGGATCATTGAAAGTAGTATGAGCAGTACCTCAACCCTAAGACTTCCAAGAACGACCCGACTGGATTTTTCCCGCAGACGAAGTTCCTTGTGTGATGGTTACACTTTGGAGTCTAGACCTTTGAAGGATCCCACGTCGCCGGGCGTTGATCTTCCCTGCCTTGCATGAAGTCCTTCTGCTGTCAGCTGTCGCCGTTCCACCGCACCCCGTTAAACTGTCTTGAAAGAGTAGTGAAGTGATTAGCATGCATGCATGGTGATCAAAATGAACCTTTTCTCTGCAAAACATCTCGGCCATGCAGTTACACAGCTTTGAGAAACGGGCATCTCGCAACAATAACCCAGCTCGTACCCGTGAGCTCTCGGAGTGGACACATGTTGATCTGCATTCCTCAACCAATTCTCTGCAATACATCTCGACCGTCGAGAACAGCTTTGAGGAGCAGGGTGTGCTATGTCGCAAGAACATTTGATCGATCAGCAATTCTGCAGTGCGAGAGGCTGACAGCTCCATTTGAGCTATTGAAGCAGTCGGAAGCAGTCGGACCCAGGTTAGCTGCAGAGTTGCCTTGAAACACAGCAACTTGGACCTGCATCGGAGGAAGCTCCTGCGCAACTTTGACTATTCAAGTCGTCGGATCGGTTTCCTGTATGAAATAATTCATGGGCAAATGACTGGGATGCTTACTCCCGAGAGTACAGAGATTGAGTATAGTAATTTTAACGCCCAGCTAATAATAAGCCTTTTTCTCATGTCGTCTGTCCCCTGTCCAGATGTATCGTATTGATGAATCCAAGGCTGAATCTATATCGAGGACGTCGTGCCGTTGAGAGAGTGGGCCGGGACACCGTGAGTAATTCTCGAGCTAAGGGCTGCTTCGCCTCGACCCCTCTGGAAACCATACCTTAGATTACTTACCTTACACCTTGAGGACTTAAGGTACCTTGGTGGTTATTGGTTTTTATACGCTATCTGTACTCGGGAGTCCTGACGTAACTCCGAGTGGCTCGGGTCTTTGTCCAACTGCCGGACTGCCGGAGTGAGCATCACAATCTTCGGGACGTTAACACAAAATACAGCAACTTCAATAAGTACATGCATCAAGAAAGTGCATCACTCATACCGTTCGTGAGCAGCCCCGCAATCGCATCCAGAAACACTTTCCGCTTCCTTCCGACCCCACCAGCTCCCCCTCTCACAAGTCCTCCAAGTCCCCAATGTCTGCTTCAATACTCTCTTCATTTTCATTCTCAACCACTCTGGTCGCCGCCAACCCTTTCGCCCATCACACACCATGACCCACCCTGCCCCGGAAAGCGCCCCAGGGCAGAAACCCTTCACCATAGCCATCTGCGGCGGCGGTATAGCCGGGCTCGCTCTCGCCATTGGTCTCCTCCGCCGCAAGGTCCCCTTCCACGTCTACGAATCCGCGCATGCCTTTTCCGAAATCGGCGCCGGCGTCGCCTTCGGGCCGAACTCCCAGCGCGCCATGAGCCTGATTGACCCGAAGATCAAAGAAGGCTACGGCAAGAGGGCGACGAGCAATGGGTACGAGGAGAAGAAGGCGGTGTGGTTTGATTTTCACGCGGGAATGGACTGTGGCATCGGGAAGGCGGGGGAGAAGGTGGGCACGGTGATCGCGGCGGACCCTGGGAACGGCTGTATACACCGAGCGCATTTCTTGGATGAGCTGGTGGCGCTGGTGCCGCGTGAGAATGCCACGTTTGGGAAGAGAGTCGTGGAGGTTGAAGAGCTGGAGGATGGAGTGCGCTTGCACTTTGCGGACGGCGAAACAGCCGAGGCGAGCGCAGCGGTGGGTTGCGACGGCGTCAAAAGCAACTTGCGACATGCAGTTTTGGGCAAGGAGGATGGAGCCGCACATCCGGATTTCACGGGGAAGTATGCGTACAGGGGATTGATACCGATGGAGAAAGCCGTGAGCTTGCTGGGCGACGAGTTGGCTCGAAACAGCGTCATGTGGCTCGGGAACCACGGACACGTCTTGACGTTCCCGATCGAAAAAGGGGAGATCATGAACGTGGTCGCCTTCCACGCGAAAAAGGACGGGAAATGGGAGGATGAGAAGTGGGTCCTGCCCATGGATCGGCAAACCATGGAAGCCGATTTCCAGGACTGGGGCGAGAGCGTGAAGAAAATCCTAAGTCTGATGGAGAAGCCGGACCTGTGGGCTCTATTCGACTACCCTCCCGCAAAGACCTATTTCAAAGGCCGGACGTGCCTAATCGGAGACGCCGCGCACGCGTCCACGCCCCATCAGGGCGCCGGCGCCGGCATGGCCATGGAGGACGCGTACGTGCTGTCGAATCTGCTCGGAGCCGTGCAGCGATCCTCCGACATCGAAACCGCGTTCCGTGCATACGACGCTGTGAGGCGGCCCCGGACGCAGAAGCTCGTGACGACGAGTCGGGATGCCGGGGAGCTGTACGAGCTGGAGAAAGAGGGGGTGTGGGACGATGCGGATAAGTTGAGAGAGAATCTGGGTACGAGGTATAAGTGGGTATGGGAGAAGAAGTTGGAGGAAGATTTGGCGGAGGCGATGGGCATATTGGGTGGCAAGGCGTGATCGGTGTAGGTATTAGAGTTATTGGATAAATCCTCGAAAAGTGAGGATACGACCGGTGAAAGGAAATGCCTCTATCCTAAGCGGTATCCCGTCCGGTTTGCCTCGAAGCCGAATATAGCCCATAATCGTACGAAAAGAACAAAGGCGACGATGACCCACGGCTGCCATTATCTTTTCGGGGGCTCCGGTTGCCATGCACCCAAAGACCAAGCAGATAACCGTCTTCGAGCGTCTACCTACCTACCTACCCAAAAGCCCCCCGTCCATATCTACATCCCTCGCCCCTCACTCCGCCCGCACCGCACCGCACCGCACCGCACCGCCCGCCCCCTCCCTCCGGACCACGACCTCTCCCACAGCTCGCAAGCTCCCCGCGCACCCCGAAAGCTGTCCGGCCACGCTTCTTCCATCACGGTCTCCGTTCCCCTTTTGCCTCCCGGTGTCTTTCCCTTTCCCGCCGACGGTCGAAACCCACCCGCTTCGTGTGGTGCTCGAACGAGGAAACCGTCGTCCGGCGGAAGATGTGTGTTTTTGGGGGGGGCGGCGGTGTGTCGGATGGTACGTGCTAGAGTGATTTTTCGACTCCGCGGTGTGGACTGGAGAGCCTTGGGTCGGGCGGAGAGAGGATGTGGGGTTGGATGTTTTGGGGGCTGTGCTCGCTCTCGGCTTCGTCCGTGGCGTTCATGAAGAGGGCGGCCGACACCGCGTGTGGATGCGTGTCGGGTGGTTTGAGCAGAGAGCGGCACGTTTCCAATGTCTGGTCGGGGCCGAGACGGCCTCGGTCCCACGGTGTTAGCGACTTCGACTCGATCGCACTTGAGATCCTTTGTCGAGGAGAGATGGGAGCGTCGGTGCGGTGGAGATGGAATGACATCTTTTGTATTTTTGCGCCCCGGTCGCAGAGAGCTACGAGGCTTCGCTCGAACGCAGAAGTACGGGAGGCCATGACGGTTTTCGACTGGGGGTCCCATACTTTGCACTCGAGCCGAGAACAGTGTCGAGGGGCCAACCCGCCATCGGATCTGCAGAACCTTTCTGCATCCAGCCGCTCGTCTCGTGGTCGGGTGCGTGGCATATGGCACAAGACGAGTAAGCCTTGATGATGACGTTATCAGGGACGTACCATTTACGGATCGGGAGAGCTGAACCCCCCCGAGTGAGATCCGAAAGGCAGCAAGACGCCATTCTTCCTCATTCTGTCCGTGCACACACGTCCGGATGGAGGTAGCATGAACAGATTACGCTCTCTATAGTCCAGCCGAGTATCATCGAGCATGACATTTTTGCGTGAATCCTCTGTGTCATCTGTCAAGTGACCTTTCTACAACATAGCCAGCCAGAAAGTTCCACCGCTCCGTGTAGAGACGAGCTGACACGATGCCGGTTCCAAAGGTCCAAGTCTTCGACAATAGCACGCTGCGCGATCTGACGACGATCTCGGGCACGACGTCCGCTATGAGACGTTTGACAGACCTGTGGAGTGACTGGATCATGCCTGACGTAAGGCGAGCTGGGTACCATACGTGTAGCACTGGTTCCGCGGCAACAGGGGGCCGTAGAAGCATCACTATGAGACGCATAACAATGGTGCGGCAGACGACCACCGTGTCTCGATCGTTGAGAACGCAGATACAGGTCCGGTCAAAGGCCTCCGGCAGGGCGATGACTGAAACCACGACATCGCGAATGTCACCAGACGCTTTGGGTCGGTAGCTGCAGGGATCAATGCATGGGGAGTAGTAGACTTACCGGCCAAGCAGAGCGCAAGATCTTGGTCATAGGCCCTCGCCCTCATTCATCGCCAAGTTGAGCACGTCATATGACGGAGTGTCGCCCCACAGATACTTCAAACCACCGAAGCTCTGGAAGGGTATGGGTGAGACGAAGGCTGGTCGACGACTCCGTCTCCACCACGTTGGCTGCCAGCTCGCTTTCCTCGAACCAGAATCGCAGTCCGATTTGCGTAAAGGCCAACGTGCAGCTTGGCATTCGCGGCCGCAGCACTGAGGTCAAAGTCAGCCTCATGTTCTTCATGTTCTCTGTGGAATGGTTGACAAAGCTGGGATTCGCGATACCTGAACAAGATGACATCTCGAGCGGATGAGGCTACCCCTGTTGTCGCAATTGACCGTAGAGCCGTCCACCAGCTTGGTATTTGCGCAAGGCGCCCTGTCCATGTGTTGCTGGCTGACAGATAAATCCGAAAAAGCTTCCTCCATGACCAGATTTGGTTGTGAAGTCGGTAGTATGTAATTCTTTATGGTCAAACATGAACATTAGTGTAAGCGGAGTGAGACACGTCAAGAACGAAACCTGGAGGGTAGTAAGGTGAGATAAAACCTGCTAGTCAATACTTCCTTTCACTATCCACGGAAGCATGCATAAATGAATCAGGTTATTTCAACAGTGACAGAAAGTCGCTTAACTTCTGTGAATATAGAACGGTCTGCCTCCTGAGGCCTGCCCTCAATGCTGCCAAATACCATGGACCGACCTGTAACGCATCTATGGCAGCCATCGTTCATAAGCTCGTCCGTGCTGCACCGGGTCCAGAGCAACACAGATATTGTACATTTGGAACTGACCATCAAAACTTTTGTAAGGGTAACCCCTATTAGTTGTTCTTCGCATTTTTCTTCGCCTTCTGCGCCAACCCCTCAGCTTCGCCAACTTTCTTCTGCAGAACCTCTTGGATCTCCTTGAAGGTGTCTTTCGCGATCTTCTCGGCTTCCTCCCCGTGCTCTTGGGCGATTTGTTGCAGCTGCGTCAACTTTGGGATGATCTCACCACCGCCCGGCAACATTCCCAAGTACTTCTCAAGCCCTCCCCCGTCGCCTCCATTGCCCTGGCCTACCTTGTCAACCGTGTTCTGCACATACTGCTTGAGTGAATCTGTGCTGCCGGACTGCACCGCATCTTTGACCTTCTCATAAAGCTCCTGCACATTGCCCTGTTTCTTCAACTTCTCCTTGTTCTTTTCCAACAGCTCTTTCACTTCTGGTGACTTGTCAAGATACGGCTTGGCCTTTTCCATCCCCTGATCCCACGCCTTTCCACCAAGCTCCTGTATCTTCTGCACCTTCTCCTGAACCAGGCTCTGAACCTTGGGGATAGTACTTGCGCTCACCCCACTCTTGATAATGTCACGTATCTGATCCCAAGTCTCATCAACCTGCTTCTTGGCCTCGGGCCCGTACTTGTCGCCCATCTGCTTCAGCTGATCCAAGTTTCCTCCAACTTTCTCCTTGAGTGCCGGATGATTGTTGATGATATCGCTTGCCGCATCCCCAGCCAGACCGCCTATGCGCTTCAGGTGCCTTTGTAGTATATCCCAGGCTTTTGTCGCTGCTGTGACGCTCATGCCCTCTTGAGAGACATCCTTCAGCTCCCCGTAGGCCTCTTTGATAATGTTGTCGACTTCGTTGCCATGCTTGTTACGAATGGCGTCGAGGTCGTCAAAAGCACTGTCAACGTAGCCTGTCGCACCAGGGATGAAAGTGGCGTAGGATTTTGCAGAGGAGCGGAGCCATTTCAGTGCTTCGTTGGGTTCTGGGGATGATTCTTTGAGTTGCTTTCCATAGCTCTTAAACAGATCCTCGGTCTTTCTAGCGGTATTTACGAGGTTCTTTGCGCCTGTAGGATTTTAGCATTGCGGGGTGGGAATAAGTGGTAGCCACTGAACGCCTCGAAAGATTTATTACCTGAGAAGTGATAGTAGGTGTAACCCCCAAGGAAGACTAGCCCGCCCCCAGCAAGGCCGCCAATGAGGCTCTGTGAGAGGCTGCTGCCACTACTGGAGCTGGAGTTCGAGGTGTTGGTAGATTCATGGCGGAGTTGTCGGAGAGAAGAGCGTACGCAAATGGTACGTGACACTCTGTTGGCTGCTCGTAATCTGAGCATGATAGACGATTGTGAAGGAAGTGCTGGTAAGAGTAGAGAAGAAATAAAGAGATACGTGAGACGCGGTCATGAGAGTACTATACTTGGCCGAGGACGCAGAAACCTTGGCGAAGTGACGTACGTCCCATGTTCAATGAAAGGAACTTACATTCTTCATGACGAATAAAATATGGGAAGTGTCGATGGGTGAAAGTCTTCTCAGTCGCAAATTGACCACACGACATTCATTTACTAGCAAATGGTGAACAGCAGTGAAAGTATTGCGTTGAGTCCATAGATAAGCTCGAGGTCACGTGCCATCCCATTTTCTTCATCTGGAAGGGAGTGCAGACAAGATAAGAGCAAATTGTGTCGACGGTTGAGTCTATCCACTGATATGAATCTTGCTTTCACGCGCGTGTGGATATCTAGTTATACAGTGGGGAAAAAATCTTGAGTCTTCTTACAACAGCTGCATCCTCTTTTGACCATTCCGGAGCACACAAAGCGACTCAAGGCTGTCCGAAGCCTTTCGAATTCTCAATTGCCTTCTCCAGTGCCTCTCGTAACTTCTCTTCGCTCGTAAACTCGGGCAAGAGAAGCCTTCCAAAGCAAGTCAGACTGGTAGGTAACCTCCCATCTCCAATCCCGTTCTTCTGCACGGTAAATACCAGTTTTTCCACCCCACCCACAGGTAGCCGATCACTCGCCGTCACGAACTCCAACAGCTTTCGGACCTTTTCTTGCGACCAGCTGTGCACTACATTCCAGAAATGGCGAATTGTGGGATGGAAGAATTCATAACCACCGTCGTAACGGGTCACTCTTTCGAGGCCAGCGACGGAGATATCGGGCAGCCCTTCGACAAGGGCTTTCAGATGAGATGGCGTGAATAGGGAAATGGCTTTTGGATGGAAACATGTGAAGAAGCCGTACCTGAAAGCATTGAATTGGTCGTAAACGGTTTTATAAGTAAGTTGGTGTATGTAGTCGTGGATATATTGGTCGCGGTTCTCGTTAGTCACCATCGGAGTATTTTGGGTGCCAGGACTAGCTGGAAGTCGATCAGGCGATGAGGAGTCCGACATACACAGCTCGTCGTCTAAATCAACACGGGCTTCCTTGTGATCCCTGCTTTTCAGGTATTCTAATGCTTCCTCCTCACTGGTTATCGTCGGCATAGTGTGGTTGGTAAAATCTGTGGGAAAGGGAACACGCGATTGGAAGTCCGACATTAACACCTCGTCGGTTGGTTCTGCGGTGGCTCCCTGGAACTGGCTGCCTCTCAAAAACCGTAACGCGTCCTCCTCGCCTTCCTCAGCTGCAGTTTTACGAAATTTCCTTGGCTTCCTCTTAATCCGTAACACTTTCACCACCTTCTTGGGTTTTTCCTCAATAATCCCTTGCGATTTTTCTTCATCGCTCTGCTCGACTTTCTCATATTGACCAATAAGGCGATCTTCAGTAGCACCAAACTTATCTATGCTGAAGACATATGATCTCATGAAGACATCTTCAACGTCACCGTCCTTCCAATCGCGGAGAGCCTTTAGACCTTTCACCAGCTCGGGCCAGCCATCCTCAAGGTCCGAAAGCTTATGATGGTGTAGGCCAGAGAGCTTTCTGTACATTACGAGGGGAAACGTGAATGGAAGGGTAAGGCCATTGTATACTGCCAGTGAGACTAAAATGCCCAGCAACTCGAATTTGTACGATGGCTCCGGTGAAGAAGGGTGGAACCAAGACATTCGGGTCGTAGGATCTGTTGTGAATACGCCTAGAAAGAAAAGATTTAGCTTGCGTTTACTTGGGGCAGCAAGATCGTGAGTCACGAATCGTACCATAGTCAGGGTTCAAAGCTTCTGCGATAGCCACACGAAAGAATTCCTGCTGAACGCCACCGTGATCGATGCCTTCTTCTCCCACCATGCGTACCTTCAATGGTCTCATCAGCTCACGCTTTTGACGCCTGTATATTTCGTTCATAGCATCCGTGAGAACGTGATCGCGACGTGCTTCGAGCACAAGGTACTCGGCCGTTGCACAATGTAGTCGATCAGGAAGCCGAAGCGCCCCTCTTCCTGTGGAACGATCTGGCCAGCTCACCCCATCACACAAACGAGAAGCGGCGACGGAGTCCCGATATGCTGTGTACATTGCAGTGTGGTTGATGGATCGAAAGTAGGCCACCAACGCGGAAGGCGGAAATAAGAAAGGGAAATCTAACAGATGTACGGATCTGCCGTCGGCCCATGCAGAATTGTACCATGCCGCCGGCACATCCATCACATCGAGCCGTTCCGATAAAAACGGCGTGTGGAACAAGTCCCAGTCAAAGCGGTATGCGTTGGCATGCTCATCTATTTCATGTATTAAGCTAGCACACGAGACGAAAAATAAGGAATACTTTACTTACGTATATGCCACATCAGCCCCAGAGCACCGCCGACAGCACTACCATTTGCTACTCTGGCTTTACCATCCCACTCTTTCAAAATTACAGCTCGTAACCATTCAATGATGATCGGCCATTCTTTCTGATGCCAGGTAATCGGCTCAGGCTCTGGGTCGGTCCACTCCCCGCTTTTGACGGATGGTTGACCTTCATTCTCGGCAACGCAAATCTTGAGGTCATCGGCGTTGACATAATTTATCACCCGTGAAAATATAAGGGGGAATACCCGGCGGTACTTTTCGACATCCTCTGCCATGTCAATCGATCTAGCAAGTCTTATCACCAGGCTGAGAGCCATCTCGTTCTCAAAAGCGTGTAGTGTCCTCACCAACTTTCCAATCATCTTCTGTTCTACTGGCGAATTCTCGGCGTCTATGAAGGGCGCTACCTGACCGGAGGCGTGTAGCTTGCGAACAGCAAGCCAACCCATTGGACTGCATTTGGGTACAGAGGCTACCAAAGCAGCGAGTATAATCTTGACCACATGGCATGCTTCCAGATCGTTAAGGGAACAACCTTGAGAAGCCGGCGAAGGGTCGAGTGAGAATGAGACTAGGCCTGAAGCTGTCGACAACCGACGCTTATTGGTAGCCGTAGAGACAGGGTAGAGTCTGCCAGCGCTGATCCAGAGGCTTGGAAAAATCTTATGTGGATGCATGTCCATACGGCGTAGCTTCCGGAACAAGTCGACTATTGATGCGAAATCATAAGACCATACGACTTTAGAAGCTGCGTCGCTATCGTCGAAGTGGAGGAAAGACTGCAGAAGAGCGTCGACATTACTCAGGACGTATGTCATTGACTGACCGCTATATGCAAGGAAATCTCCATATGAACCGCATCTAGAAGAATGCTGAGGAAGATCTGTCCGGCCTAGAAATCTTAACAACCAGTGTTGTTCATACAGGTCACTACGACAAACAGCCCTTGCTCCCTTCAACGCAATGATGTTTGCGCTCGTAAAATGTGACAGCGTTGGAGCTGAAATTTCAGGCGCAGGCTCAGACGGACTTTGGACTGCTATGGATGTCTTATGTAGTGATGTCGTCTCTGTTACATCCAGCCCTTTAGATTGAGAGTTTTTTTGTGGACATTTTGACGGCGGCGTAGCGACTCCTAGGGGTGACTCCTTCGGCTCAATTTTTACTGCAACGAGCGCTTTTCCATCATCGCCAGAAGTCTCGGAATTCTTCAAATCTTTCTCCAGGCTGTTAGATTCTTGAACCATGGTACGAGTAGAAACGATCTCTGAGGACGTAGTGTTGCTCCCAGCAGACGCAATATCGTGGATAGATTCGATCTGAGGTGGATCATAGCCATGCGCTGCTCTAGCAGACTCTGTATCTGGTATCAGAGGCCTTTCGATACCTTTCTCGGCGTTCTTCGAGAGTTCCAAGTCTATTTGATGCTCTAGACTGTTGCTGTCTAGAGTCGAAGAACCTACCAGCTGCGCTCTTTCATTCGAAGGAGCCCAAGGCGGATGACTGCCTGAAGCATTTGTTCGGTGCAGTAATTTCATGGCAACGGTATCGAATAGGTTCTGGGTGAAGGACTTTGGGTCTTTATCTTTGCGAACATGATCATTGGATTTGGGCTCCTCGTAGCTCCCAGCCCTTGAAGTTTCAGGTTCCAGCCCAAGTGTCTTTGTATGCCCATTCGCAATGTGGACCTTGATCTTCCGTCTCTGGACCGGTGTAAATTCGACGCCACTAGCTGATTGAGGTGTTGAAGTAGTATGGCTGGATCTCGGATTTGCAAGCGAACTTCCTCTATTGTCTGGCTTATTGCCTGCCCGTTTGACTTTGGCGGGTGACCTCGGTCCCGAGTCAATATCGACCGGCTGGTGAGGACAAATGCCCCTTTCCGGTTGATCCTGTGAAGCAAGGAAGGTAGCTAAAGCCCGCGCGCTGAGTACTGTGTATGGGCGAAATGGGCCTTTGGCTACCCGTTGCTGGCGGCTGAGACATGTGGGCGTCTCACAACGAGGATTTTTGCATCCGTAGAGGATCTGACGGTTGTATCTAATTGTGTGTCAGTGCCAGTCACACATCGGATTCCCGTTATTGTCAAGCACCTGTTCAACAAGTGCTGAAAGGCGCGGCGCCTCTCGAGTGATCTGCTTGGCCATATTGTGGCCGGATCATGCAGACTGATGATATCCCTGCCCAAGCTCTCACTCGTGTCATTATCAAATTCTAGAGAAAGGCTGTGTAGGTGCGGTACAGGTCCATCAGGTGACAGTAAATGCCCGGTAGGACCAGTCATCTCTTCCTCTGAACTGTTGACCAGTTCGCATTCTCCAAGAACTTTCGAGCTTGTGATATTAGTAAGGCTGAACTCCGGGGTAATTTTAAGGTTTCGGCAGAAGCTTACCAGGCGAGCGGCTTGGCCCTGGGCATCGTCATGTTTGTACCTTCTCACATGTACAAATCCTTACCTCTCTATGTTCATTGAGTCAGCACAATCTCCATTCGTCACTTCTCAGGAAAACACATCTTATAGAAAAACACATCTGTTACTATCCTGCTTGACGAAATCTACTTGCTCGCCATAAGGAGCTCAGCCAGAGCACCAAGACCGTGTCTGACTCATTTCTGTTCTTCACACACACAGCCAATTGTTCGAAAACCCCGCTATCCCACTACTATGGCGACCATCATGGCAAGCCATCCAACGCACAGCGGTGTTCAACCCACCGCAGTCTCAAACGCCGCTCAATCTCACCCTTACACCTGCAATACTTGTCAGGTGGCGTTCAGAAACAGCGATCTGCAGCGCGGGCATATGCGGAATGATTGGCAGTAAGTCACACCACTGAAGCCTGCCACGAAAAATTTCTGACATAGAATAAGCCGATATAATCTCAAGCGCCGAGTCGCCTCCTTACCACCCCTCTCTTCAGAAGTATTCGCGGAAAAGGTCCTCAACGCACAAGCATCTTCTTCTGCTGTGGCTGCCAAAGCATCCTTCGAGAAAATATGTACAGCCTGCCAGAGGACATATTACAGCGAAAACGCATACCAAAACCACCTTGGTAGTCAGAAGCACCGACTTCGCTCAGCAGTACTGGCCAAAGATGGAAAACCAGCAGTTGACGACGAAACTGCGTCAGTGATGAGCTCCACGATCTCCTTGGGTGAACCGATAAACACAGCTCCAGCAGATGACATCGCTGAACCACCCGCGGGACCAATTGATCTAGAGGCTGAGGCAGAATTTTCGAAAGTTGTCAATGGGATCAAAGAGACTAGCATCACCGAGAGCGAGCCTGTCTCACGTCGCCCCTCAAGACCACACCATTCGTCAAACGAACAGCGAACAGAGCATCCATTATCACCACAGAAAGACGTGGATAGCCCTACAGCATCCATCACCAAAGCAGCATCACCTGCGGCTGCCGTTCCTCTGAATCGTTGCTTATTCTGCAACTATGACTCGCCTAATCTCAAGCTCAGTGTGATGCATATGAGCAAATATCATGGTATGTTCATTCCGGAACGAAATTACCTGATCGATCTTGATGGTCTCATTACTTGGTTGCGTGGCAAGATTTTCGAGCTCCATGAATGTTTGTACTGCCATAAATTCAAAGCATCTGCGGAAGGGATCCAGACTCACATGAGGGACAAGGGACATTGCATGATAGCGTTCGAGTCCGAGGAAGATATGATCGACGTAGGGCAATACTATGACTTCAGAAGTACATACTCGGATCAAGAAGACAGCGACGATGATATGGAGGACATCAGCGAAAAAACTCAAGGTGGTGTCAAGGTCGACCCTCGGAAGGTCCTCAAGACAGTTATCAGTGATGCCGACGGAGACCAGGAGATGGAAGAGGGCGCGGAGAATGCTGAAGGTTGGGAGACAGATAGCTCGGCATCATCATTGGACTCAGCGGATCTCACTGCTGTACCAATAGAAGATCACCAGCATGCTTATGAGCGGTTACCCATGCACCGACATCATACTCACAACGATCCAAGGCCCCATCGTGCGATCGATGGCTTTCATTCGCACGCGCACTCTCATCATGCAGCCTTCCATTCCGACTATGAGCTTCACCTACCTTCTGGCCGTACTGCCGGTCATCGCTCTCTATCCCGGTACTATCGCCAAAACCTACATACCCACCCTACACCAAGCGAGCGAGTTGAGCAGCGTATGCTCGAGGATGCGGCTTCAGGCTCGGATCATGATCAACAGATGATCGAAGGAAGAGCCAGAGGCAGGCAGGTCATCACCAGGGCCAATGGCGGAGAAGGCATGCTTGGCGTGACCGACGCAAAGAAGAAGGAGGTGCAGGCCGTCGAGAAGAGAGACACAAAGCGTGCGCAGAGATCACAAAAGCAATATCAGTGGGGAATCGACAAAAGGGGGAACAGTCAAAAGCACTTCCGTGACCCATTGTTGCAGTGAGGGACTACTGTTGCTTGCTGTGCATGGCGCCTAGACAACTTCTACTACATCAGAATAGACCAGTTGTGACAGCTAGACTCACTACAGTAGTACAAATTCCGTATTTTCCATTCTGCGACTTATCAATGATACTCGCAGTAGAATAAATGGCACGTGACCTGGTGATATCTAAACGCGCTGTAAACGCGCTCTGAACATTCCTCATTCAGGAGTCCTAGTAAGTACAGTTGGATAGCCATGTTGGTCCTCACCCTCTGCTACAATGACAACTCTCCATGACCGTATCTTCGCCTCGGTCTTCCCTCCGCCAAGCGAGGTTGACGTCCCCACTCCTACCGCTACTCCCATCCTAGGCTCCTCTGGCTTCGGAGAACCTTTCGGTTCGCAGCATACAACTGCTTCACAATCTGCCACAGAGACCGGAGCTGCGGAGCAAATCAAATGGGACAGGGCATGGCACACAGCAACCACCTTCCTTTCCCTCCGAGACGAGCCTATCCACGCGGAACAGGATGAGGAGACATTGAAGGGGAGATGGATCAGATATGCGGGGCCAGAGACCCAGAAGGCTCTTGCATACTTGTTGTCAGAAAGCTCCAGCGGACGCCAACTAAGGAGAGAGTCAAATACTGATGACCTGCTACGATGGTACTTCGAAAAGGTGGTGCTTGAGCACTATGTCAAGCATGTGTTACCCGGCTTAATTCGGGTAATTCCAGAATGGAGCGAAAGTCGCATAGTACCTAATGCTTCTTAGATCCTTAGAAAGAGCCAGGTTCCCAATGATTTGTTTGAGGCTGGCCAACAACTGCACATTGTAAAATCGATCTACCTGCACCCATTGCAGAACCACGTTGCCCAAACACTATCTAATGGCGGAAGAACAGAGCTCGCTCGCTTCGAGACAGACCTACACGGCCTCTTCACGCATACATTACCTCAAGATAAAGTAGTCGAGAATCTGTCCGCCTTCTTTGGACAGCAATGTTCTCTCATCTTGAATGGTGTTGGAAAGAATGGAATGCAAGATGTAGTGTCGTCGGTGCCGGTTGTTCGCCAAAGAACGCTCAAGCTTATGCAGATGCTCCAAGGTGTGGGCCTTGGAGGCTATCAGGCTCAACGTATCTTCGCCGAAGTGATGTCTGACATCCTGACTTCACATATCAAGTCTACATATGCAGGCGTTTGGACTTCGCCTTCCAATGTCGTCGATCACTTGCGAGACTGGGTTGAAAACAGCTTTTCGCGCTTCGTCGTTGAGATTCTTTCGTCAATGAAAACTGACAATGCCTCAGGCATCGACGAGCTTATGGACGTCACCCATGCTGATGTTGAAAGGTGGCAGGAATTGGGTGTGAACAAGCTTGGTGCTCTACGAACAGATGAGCTCTTCGATGTTATAGTGGAATGGGAAAATGGTAGTCAGGGCGCCATTGAGGATCTCAAACGTTATGTGACCACTCCGTCATCCAGAACATACCTTACTACTAAGTTCTCCAGTGTAGTCTCTTACCGTCTTCTTCAGCCCGGGGCTTCCACTACAGAAATCCTCCAAGTCTATATATCCATCATTCGTGCTTTTACCCTCCTGGACCCGAAAGGTGTTCTTCTGGATCGCGTAGCTCGGCCCATCCGTCGCTATCTACGTGAAAGAGACGACACAGTGACTATCGTCGTCGGTGGCCTATTGGCTGACCCCGAAGACGAATCGAGCGCTGATGATGTCCTGCTGGAGTTGGCGATAGAGATGAACAAGAGCGCTACTGCGAAAGGCGAAGATGACGCAGATGACGCAGATCTTGACTACGATGATATGAATTGGATGCCTGATCCGGTGGACGCTGGACCGGAGTACAAGAAGTCGAAGAATTCAGATGTCATTGGCTCCTTCATCAGCCTGTTCGAATCGAAAGACATTTTCGTCAAAGAATTTCAAAACATACTCGGCGAGCGCTTGCTCAAAAAGGAGTATGAGTTTGACAGAGAGATCCGTGTCCTCGAACTGCTCAAGTTGCGCTTCGGCGAGCCTGCTCTTCAAGCATGCGAAGTCATGCTTCGAGACATCCTTGACTCTCGAAGGGTCGATACCTTTATCCACAAGGACAAGGAACTCGATCTGAATGACGAATCCGCACCAGAGCTGCATACAAGAATCCTTTCCCACCTTTTCTGGCCATCACTCCACTCCGAAACCTTCTTCATCCCCCCAGAAGTCGAATCTCTCCAGTCTCGCTACTCCACTGGCTTCGAAAGCCTCAAACAGTCCCGCAAACTAACCTGGCTCCACGCCCTCGGCCAAGTAACTGTGGCCCTCGACCTCGAAGATCGCACCGTAATCGAAGAAGTGCAAACGTGGCAAGCCTCCGTCATCTATGCCTTCCAACCCTCACCCTCCGAAGACTCCTCCACCCCCATCACCCGAACCTTCAACGACCTCGTCGAAACCCTCCACATGACCGGCTCCCTCCTCCGCAACGCCCTAACATTCTGGATCGGCAAGCTAGTGCTCAAACAGACCTCCACCTCCCCACCCATCTACGCAGTCCTCGAGACCCTCTCCGACGAAGACGCCGCCCACCCGGGCACCACGTCCGCCGCCATCGCCGCAGCAGCCGAAACCGCAACCGCCGCCGCCGCGCCCGCGGTGTTGAGCGAGCACGAGGTGGCGCAGGAGAAAATGGAGGTGTATTGGCAGTATGTGGTCGGCATGTTGACGAACGGCGGGCCGATGCCGCTGCAGCAGATCGTCATGATGCTGAAGCTGACGGTGCCGGGGGGGTTTCCGTTTGGGAGTGAGGAGTTGAAGGATTACCTCGAGGAGGAGGTGAGGGGCGGGAAGTTGGATTTCGCGGGCGGTGTTTATAGGATCAAGCATTGAGTGGTCTGTTCATGTTGAATGATACCCTAGGGAGCGATGCCTGCTGCGGTTGTTGCGGGCTGCGGCGACGGTAGCATGGATTTGGGACGGTGATGAGGGAATCATTAACGAGGGTATTCTAGGCTGAAGTATGTTATCATTCCAGATGCAAGAGTGTTTGATATCCTGATCACTGCCTACTAGGAGATTTCATGATCTCATGTCCGGAAATGACACCTCGCTATGCAATTCATAATCGTTATCCCCTCAGGCATATCCAACCACATGGCGACGCGCACGTAACCCCCATCGAAACCCCTTCTCAGAACACAGTACTCCTCTGCTTCGTCACCCTCCCCCCGTCCCCACCCGCTCCGCCCCCTCTCAGACCCCAAAAACTCCTCTTCGGCACCACGGCCGGTCTACCGCTCGCCCCTCCTCCCGGATTAGCAAAGAAAGTGCTCGAGCTGGCCGAGGGGCCTATGTACCCGCTCGCGGATGCTATATCCGGTGGATGCGGATACGGTCCCGGAGAAGATGGAGGTGGGCGGAGATTCGAAGCTACGTAAGGACTTGAGGCGTAAGGGGTTGATGCACTGTGCGGTCGTTGCAGCGGTGCGGGAGGGTAGGACGTCACCGCGAGATGTTGTTGAGGTTGCGGTCGCGGTGGGGGCTGAGGCGTTGGTCTCTGGCCTAGCTGTTGCAGACTTTGCTTCTGTTCCCTCCCGTAGACTCTCTTGAGGCGTTCGGTCTCTCGATCGATTTCCTTCTGCTTCTCCCGTGCTTTTCGCTCTTCCTCTTCCAACATCCGCTTCACGCGTTTCGTTTCAGCCTGCTCGGTACGTCGGCGTTCCCGCTGTTCGGCTTCGACTGCTTTGCGCAGCCGGGCGGTTTCGAGGTCGAGCTCCCATTGGGAGCGGGGGTCGGTGGGTGGTGGGCGGGCGGAACCGGGGTTTGGAGGAGCGGAGTCAGAGGGTAGGGAGGAGTGGCGGTGTCGTCGGGGTGGGAGATTCGGGTTAGATGGGTGGCTAAGAGAGGCAGCGGTGGAGTTGTGTTCGGCGCTGGAGCGTCTGGATGGGGTTTCGGTGATATTGAAGGCTTCGCGGATAGTGCTGCTGAAGACTTCACGGATGACGATCGCGCCGAGTAATAGGACTACTTCTAGACCTTTTAGATCTTCCATCTCGACGCGCGAGAGGTTGGGTTCGTAGATGGTGATTTCTTTGAAGTGGCGGAAGAGGGCGATGGTGATGTCTGGTTCTCTATTCCGACGCTTGCTGCCGTCTGGGTTTGTGGATTTGCCGGATAGAGTGCAGACGTAATCTTTTGACAACTTGCCATCTTTCTTCCATTTGAAGCCAAGCTTCGGCGTTGTTTCAGAGGCGGTGGGATCATTTTGTGTGCGGTCCAGGGCGGATGTTGAGGGCTTTCGGAAGCTTTGCTGGGGCATCTCGAACTCCCAGTAGCCTGTGGAGCCCCAACCTCCAGCATGCCATTTGGTGACTATCTGCTGATCCGGGTTGTATAGCTGGACCGTGAATTCTGTAGGCAGCACTGGCTGAGGCGGTGGGGGAAGACCGCCGTTCAGGCGTATCTGCTCCTGGGAGGGATTTGGCTGGGTCCATTCTGGTATGAGGAGCACTTCGCCAAAGAGGATATCTGGGTTATAGCTGTCGTATATGGCTACGGCATATCGGTTCTTTGAGCCTGGCAAAGAAGGGTCTGGATGACGGAGAGAGTATTCCGGCAAGGCATCTGAGCCGTAATGTGAAAGGAGCACTGAGGCATTGTGCTTAATACCGTCATTCGATGATCGCAAGTAGAACGCTAGATCAGACAGAGTATTAGCAAATACGCATGAGGGCAGACTTCACTTTGGATGTAGACTCACTGGGAAGGTTCTCGTCCAGCATCTTCTTGCCACGGCCTGCATACGACTTTTCGTCGAAGGATGCAAGAGATGAAATGCGGCGCGTAGAGTAAGAAGGACGGATGAAGTAGGGCCTATAGGTATGTGAGGGTGTCAGCCTTGGTGGTGACGAATCAGCAGGCAATGAAGCCTTACCTTACCTTGGTCATGACTCCTGAGACATTAGGTACCTTAGCTCGCGTCTTTTCAATTTAGCTTCCGCACATTAATGGCGGAGCGGGATGTGCTGCATAAGCTCCCGCTTTCTCATGCCATTTTTAGAACGGTCGCAGATCATCAAGCACGTGACCTTCATCTGAAGGCTTCTATTACGTCAATCTCTTTCTACCCACAGTATTATCCTTTTCATGGAGAACCCAAGTCTCCTTCAAGGACAGAATGTCCTGCACCGCTGACGAGTAACGAGAAACAAAGCTCGTTAGTCGATTGGAATGAATCTCCGCTATGGAATGTCATTCATATGTGTATGCAACCGCTGGGCGAAGTCGAGCAAATAGAAAGGCGCCACTGCCTCACGGAAGGCTACAATGACGATGATATCTGAAATGTGTGTGTGTACTCAAAGAACACGCGTCTTCCACCTTTTGCCTTTCCCAAGCCACGATAAAGCATTACAGGTTGAGGTAAATGCCCAGGGATGCTGCCAGTAAAAAGGCGGAAAGGGCGAATGAAGCTTGCGTGCGTACAGACTCTGAAAAGGTGGTGTCCTATTTTTTCTTCACACATGAAACGAGTGGACATTGTTGCAAGAGCTTCAAAAGTTTCAAGTCAAGACCAAAAGACGAAGGAAGGAAGAAACGAATCACTGATGGAGCATTGCCGCCGTGAGGCTCCCTGCTGCCCGAAGGATTCCTTGGCGAAAACCCGAGCCTACGGTTCCTCAGCGGGTCACGCATTGCCTGAAGAAACACGCTCACTTTCTCTCCCCTCTTCTTCCCATCCCCCCCGGCGCTTCTTTTTTGCTACAGCATGTAGTTCTTGCGAGTATCAAGAATCATCTGATTTCCCTTCCATCAGTCCTTTAAAGTGGTCCGTAACTTTCGATTTGGTCAAACTTTCCCCGTATTTCCAAAAACACAAGGCTACACAGCCGCTTGACACGCCAGCCTCGTACTACAGCTCCCAATATATTGGGTGTCTGTGACGGCGACGTTAACTCGCCAAATCCCCAAGCTCAAACCACACTTACCCTTTTTTGCTACCTCAGGACAGTCTCCCATACTCCCTCTACGGTGCCGAAGAATCGTGTCACCTTCGGCTTACCTTTCATGAAGCCGGTTTTCAAGAGTCGAGATTGACGGACGACGCAGTCTTTCGCATTTAGGGACCTACTCCTGACTCTGGGTTGGGCAAAGTGTCACCCATCAACCCTTACTGCACCACCACGACCATCGTTTCTTCCATCTGCCTTGGCTTGGACCGGGCTTCGATATCGGTTCTACAATCACCATGTCAAACATGACAGATGGAACGAAAGCAGGGATAGGCGTCGGTGCCGCGGTGGGAATACTGGCACTGGCTGCGATAGTGGTGTGGGTTCTCATCTGCACACAAAGCAGGGGCCCGATCTTCCCAGAGCGGCGCGACAAGCAGCGAGCAAAGGGCACTTATGAGATGGAAGTGTGACCCTTCCCAACAGAACGGCCGCGAGGAAATGCACACAAGCTGCAGGTTAGTTGCCGCAAGGCTCACCAACGTGGAGCCCGGTATGCACGAAGTATGTTCATATAGAGGAGGAAGACGTTAAGCCGCTCTGTTGGAACCTTGCTTTCATGGTCATTTCCACCAGCTTGAAGCCCGCCTTACGCCCAACACCGGTCATGCTGGAGCCACCCATTGCGCCAATCTCCGCCAACATGGCCAGTGGCATTGGTGAAGCACACAAAGCGCAGGGCGAGACGAACACCGAGGAGGATGTTCAATGCCGCAGGTGGACCGGCTGGAGGTTGTTGTACACGCAAGAGGATCAAGCATAAATCTTTGCATAAGGGCGACCAGGCGGGCGAAATCCTTGAAAAGTCCAAGCCCTAACGAGGTGGAAGTTTCTCAATCTCATAGTCCTACATTCAAAAATGCCACCGAAAGAAGCGGCAATGCCGAGAGCTCCCAGCCTTCCATGATTTTACCCTTTTGTGGGTGCCAACCAGAATGGACGAAGTTTATTGGACGCAGGGGGGATATCTCCTCATCACTCCAGGTGACAAATTTTCACTTGCGACTGCGACAACTTTTACCTCTCTGACAGCGCGCTCCTGACTTTCTAATATTCTCTCACATCGGTCCGCTATCGAGTTGCGTCTGGTGGAGGCAGCTACTATTTCGATCCGTTTTCGCTCAACTCACCCAAAGCGTATCCGCGCAGCAGATGCCAGCGATGCCTCAATCGTTAAAGGACCGCAGCTGATGCGGTCCGAGATGCATCATGAAATGTACCAATTCAAACGCTTGGCAACTAGTACCGCAGCTTCTGAGAGAAATATCCCATTATCCACGTTAGTGCATGAGAAAAGCCAGAGAAAATGGCTTTTCTCATTCATACGTTTTTGAGAGAATTCGAACCCCCATCCTCTCCATTCTTTCAAGCCCATCAAAGCCTTCAACAACAGTCGAGGCATCCATTCCCCTCGGTCGTGCGTTCTTGATACCAAAATCATTGTTAGCCTCTTACCAAACTCAGCATACCGGGACATAACAAACCCACGTCATGGAAGCCCGCCTCATCCACGCCTACAAAGTCCAAACCATCGACCGCGAAAGGCGAGAATGGCGCATCATCAACCCTCTCCGATTCGGCATTCGAGTCGACGAATCGCAAATCCCGGACGAGTACAAGGCGTTCTTCAACGCCAACATCAGCCCCGATGTCAGTCACTTCCTCACCGAAATCGCGGGCGAAGGCGGTCCCTGGGACGGCTGGACCCTGTATGCGGTCGGCAACCTGATGTACCCGGCCGAGTCGAGGGATCCGACGCCGTACTTCCAGGTGGTGTTTGTGAGGAAGGAGAGGACGGCGGAGGAGGGGGAGGAGAAGAGGGCGGGCGAGGGGTTCGAGATGGTGGGGGCAAAGGAAGGGGTGAGGATCGAGGATTTTCCGGTCGTGAAGGGTGGATGCACGAGTGTTGCTCGTGGGAGGTAGTTTTGTGACACAATGGATTGTTCCCTCGATCCTACTGCGTCGATGCTCACTTAGAAAAAAACCCCAAACGAGGGCCATTTGCTAGGGAAAACCTTCGCTTTGGCGGTGATTTGGGCGTATTTCATCCGGTCAGAAAAAACAAAGCCTAGTATCTCACCACAGCGCACTGAGAACATCCTCGTCCATGCGGTATCCGCTTCTCCCTCTGATGCTGAGACACAGCACGGTAACACGCCCCCTCTCCTCCTGCATCCCCACGCCACACGTCCATCCCCCGATCACCACCGACCCGCTCGTCTCCCGTCGTTCTCCGCTTCTCCGCTGCCCATGTCTCAGAGCCATGGCCGTGACATGACCGTGGCGTCGTCGAAGCAGGTTTTGGAATGTTTACAACGTCCGCCGGCTCGTTGGACTCCCGCTCGTACGCTTTCGGTTCGCCGTCTTATTCGAACATTTGTGTTGTTAGGTACGAGTACCTAGCTGGGAAAGCCGCATCGGGTGTCGGCTTTGACTCTCCATCGACCCGTGGAGTAGGCGCGTACGAGCTCCACCAGTCGCTTGCCGCATATCGAGCCGATGATGGGCGACTAGCGAGTTTGACCTCGAGTCCGCCGTCGGTTTCCCGTTTCTTACCGTTCTGTCCGATCGAGGCAGTTCAGAGTCTGGGAAATCTGATCGTTTCCAACCGTTCATGCCACGGCCCCCCCTGTGAATCATGTTCGTTTGCCACATCTTCAGCTTTCTTCCATGCTGGGCGGCCGCGATCCTCGCGACGTCGCTGCGGACCACGGCCGCGGAGATGCCTGATCTCGTCGATGCGGCCGCCGTGAATTCTTCCGCGCTGGGTGCCTTGAGTGTGCGTTGCGACGGCGCGCTCTACGGGTTCAATCCGAACATTGCCGACTGCGAGGGCGCGGCGCAGTTCATCGTCCCGGACTCGGAACAGTTGGTCTGGGGAGAGCGGCATACGGGTTTGCCGGTCGGTATCTTCCCTCTTCCGTTCGCGGTGTTCGGCGGTAAGTCTTGAATCGTGATGGAAGAAGTCTTGACAATGATACTTTGGGCATCCTGGGTTGCTGACTTACTCCTTCAACGTGCCAGACAAGGCCGAATGCGTCGTCCGGACGATCGTCCGCGGAGCTGGTCCCACCGCTCGCGCGAGTCTCGTTCAGGTCAAACGCGCCGCGGCCGCTCTGAGCTTGCAGTGCGCGGCGGGTGGTCAGTCACAAGGTGGTATCGCGACCAATATCGGTGAGTCCGGCCGCGATCGTGTCTGTGGAGAAACCTCGTGTTGGCCGTATGCCCCCGTCGTGGTCAAAAGCTAAATGCGGCCCTAGGCGGCGACAACAACCTCGCCGTGATTCTGAGTACGTACAAGCCGAAAATCCAATGCGGCAGCGCCCAGACCTTCAGCGATGCATCTTCCTGCGAGGGTCTCTTGGCGGATATGCCGGCGTCGACGGCGAAGGTGCTTTTCGGTCCTGATGATGTACCCGGCGTCCGGGAACCGCTTCCTCAGTTGATCGCCTCGGGTAAGCTGAGTCGGGATGTACATACCCCCGTGTCTGTACTCCGTCCGACTGAGATTCAACAGGTGACGACAAATGTCTCCTCAGGCTCTTCTCCACGGGCAGAGCAGATTCCGCCTCTTGGTACAGCATCGTACGTACTTCCGCAGTCCATCTTGCCTCCTCTGGACCAAATGTTGAGTCTTGAGACATCTCTCGCTCGGGAGTCTCCACTCTCGAAACGTGGTCCAAGGCTCGATATACCTCCTCAAACAGGCAATAACTGACGGCGAAACTGTAATCTAGTGGGAGGCCACGGAAGCGACGTTTGCGCGGTGTGCCAGGGACCGGAAACCCGGCAGCTTCAGGGGACTGGGTAGGTTCCGTGCTCGCCGAGAGCTCTTGCGGATTGGCGAGAACTGACTCCGTGTGGTAGGAGATCGCGGCGATATTTTCTTTACGCTGGCGTCGGTGCCGTCGATCGGATCGCTTGGGAATTCTTCTCGGGCGGTGACAGCGTAGGCTTTTAGTATCGGTCATGATCCTAGGCTGAGGAGCGTTAAAAGATCGTCTTCTTCGAGGTTAGCGGTTATGAGGATTGGGCAGGTGGTGGTAGTGGGGGTAAGCATTGTGAAGTGGAAGGTTGGAAAGAAGGTCTCGCAATGGAAATCCTTCAGATGATTGATATGGAATGGAGAACTCCATCAGCGGAAGACGCTTCAAAAGAACTTCCGATGGACTGTAAACTGCCAACAGATGACAGTCTCACCAGAGATGTTGGACCGGGCGTGTATATAAATACCGGAGATGTTCACCATCTCCGATTGTGAAAACCGTAGCCGCTGCTGTCTTGTGTCTCTCTTCTCCACGAAATGAATTGCCTATGGAGGGTAATTGGAAGCCCGGGTTGCAATCTGGCTAAGTACATGGCTAGGTAAGTGCACAAATATGTACCTCCTGTTCTACGATCCTGCTTGCCTGTAGCATGTACGATCCCTGACCAAAATCAAATCGGTTTAGTGCGAGCTGGAAGCCTGGACTTTGGGTCACGCTTACTAGTGCTCACCCAGCGAGCAGGAAACGTTCCCTGTACATCCGGTGACGTTCTGTAAGCGTATCGCATCGCGGTCGTAAGCGTATCGCATAGGTAAGATTTTCGGCTTAGAAACTACGGCATGACAGAAAACATTGAAAAACGGCGACGGGTTTTAGGAGATAAGAATCGGATGTTGCGCCCGCGTCTCCGATTGCTTATACATCTATTTGCAAGCACTCATATAAGAACGATTGACACTCATGTCGACTCATGGGTTCGCATACGCTTCTAGGTTTCTTCTGGATTTTGCTGAAGCCCGAAGCTAAGCACTCACAACGTCCTTACCAACAACATGCAAAGCTGCTGTCTTTGAGACTGCGGGCGCAGATCTAGTGTTCCGGGATCTCCCTTTGAAACATACGAAGGTGATCCGAGTCATCGCAACTGGTGTCTGTCACGGCGATTTTGCTATTAAAGAGGGTTCCTTCCCGGTTCCACTGTAAGTGACCATGTCATGCTGGCGGATAGTACGAGTTGATCGAAGACCCATCGTTCTTGGTCATGAAACTATTGGAGAAGTAGCTGCTATTCCGACTGGTGAAGATCACAGGAAAGTCGGCGACCGAGTTGGCGCGCCATGGCACGGAGGTCACTGTGGTATGCCATGTCTAACACTGTATCTGTAAAGTCCTAATGACGCAAGGTTTTTGTCGAGAACGCAAGCGTGGGGTGTTTCAATTATGCGTCTCGAAAACGGCCAACGGTGTTTTTCGTGACGGTGGATGTGAGTGTTGCAGCTACTCGTGTTGAACAAGAATTGATCAAAAGAAGTTGCTGAATTTATGACTCTTCGTCGAGAATCTGCCGTTCACGTCCCTGAAGACGTTGATCCGGTGAAGTACGCACCACTGCTTTGCGCTGGAGCTACCGTCTTCAACGGCATCCGGCAAATGAGTGTCAGGGCAGGAGAGCTGGTTGCAATCCAAGGCATCGGTGGTCTCGGTCATCTGGCTGTTCAGTACGCTGCTCAGCTAGGTTACCGTGTCGAGATTCCCTCACGAGGAAAGGAGAAAGAGTCGTTCGCCCTTCAATTGGGAGCTTCAAGTTACATCGACACAACAGACAGTGATGGAACTACAGAGCTACAGGCTATGGGTGGTGCGGCATTGATCGTCACAACAGCGCCCACTCCTGAGGCCATAACGCCCTTGACCAAGGGCCTGAGAACTTCTCATTCTGGGAGGTAAGAGCCAACACATTCCTCGGCTATGGTGTATATTGAACGTGATACTTCAGCTGCTGGAACAGTACCCTTTGACACCATCAGTATGTTGTTCAACGAACTTTCTATATACGGTTGGCCTAGCGGATCCAGCATCGATTCCAAGGAAGCTGTTTCATTTGCCAAACACCATGATATCAATTGCATGGTGACTGCCTATCCGCTCTTGGAAGCCAACAAGGCCTTGGCCGATACCATGGCCGGCAAGGCTCGATTTCGCGCTGTGCTGAAGATGCAAGACAAAGGACAGAAGGAAACGTAGTGGTTATGACAGATCTGCCATTTGTTCCAAAGCGCAGATTGCTGTCCGCTAATATTGAAGTAAACATTGAGAGGTATCGTGAGCGATCCATCCAAGACTGCCGGTCAATGATGGATTGCCTTTTTGGTGCATTTCTGGCGGGAACATGGTTCAGCAACTGGCAGAGTTTCAATGTCCGCCGTCAGATGCTCTTGTGAATTGATATAAGCTCGTACCCTCCCTACACATTTACTTTACTAAGGCCAAGTGGTTTGTCTGTTGAGTTACAAACTTCAATTAGCGTTGTATACTACCTGCATCGCCGAGCCAAACGTTTCTAGAATTAAATTACGAGCCATCAACATCTGTTGCCTTAAATAAGGGGCGGATGCAGAGCCCCGATTGGCGCCGATAAAGTCGACAGGGCAGACTTCGCGGTAACGAGGTGACTCATCGGGCAACAGACCTGGCACTACAGCAGTTGGGAACATTGAGGCAGGTCCAGTAGCAGAATGTCCCTATATCACGGCATCCATTTCTCAGACAAAAGCCTGAGCGCTTGCAAACTGAATCGAAAGTAATTGTTGGTACACTTTTTACTTGGTCATTGATTCCAATGATTTGAACATCCAACAACATTATTGTCAGGCTGCCTTCCATTAGGGCGAGCAGACGTGCAGGTGAGCCTCCGCTCAGAATAGATGCAGGTGGCGAGATGTGACTATCCTGTTTATACGGACGCCAAGACTCCTGTGCCAAGATCTCGAATAGCGCCCTGCATGAAGGGTTGCCTGGACAATACGTGTAGATCTATGCGCTTTCCGGAAACATTTCCAGGGTGCGCCGCGACAGGGTTGCCAGCCAAAAGCAGAAGCAGGGCTGCTGTTAGCGCTGTCCAGACCTTGCGTGTAGACCTCAGTAGTAGACACCGTTACACCCTGAAGCGAGTTGACAACGCTTCCACCTGATTTGATCCTTCTCTCTGCCGCCCGTCCTCGTTATCTTTCGTCGAAGCATTGAATGTGAATCTTAATCAACCAATGTCTGCCGACGATGAAATACCTTCAGACCCAGGACGCGTGCCAGATCATCTCTCGCTTCCTTTCGCACCTGATGACGACGGCCTTAATCTTGGGGAATCCAGCTTGCCACAGGCATCAGAGGTAGTCACCTTTTCATTGTCATCACAGTGACTGAGTGCTTCGTATTAGGCTCAATACGATGGCGAACGCCTTCAGCCTAGTAAACAGCAATTGGAGGCCGCGACGATAAACGCCCGTGCGTACTGGTGCCGTGTTGTTGAGAAGGCCTTGTCACACCACAGAAATGGGCTCTTACCTCAACAAGTCGACCCTTCCAATATACTGGGTAAAGTCCCTGCCATACCCAATCAGCCTGGAAGTAGCCGGATGCTTTTTGTCGGCGATTCTCCTGGCAAAAGCGCGCTTTTTATCGAAGCACACTCCACCTATCGTGTTGCAGAGGACGAAGGCTGCACTGCCAGTGACAGGATCAAGTCAATTCCAGCTTTACTACAGCTAGGAGTTCAATCTCCGACACCAGTCAATTGGAATGGAACAAGCTTCCGCCACTGGGTCGGAATCGAAGGCGAAAGTAGGACGAGGAATTATATTTCAATTTTGGCTCTGGGCTGGTCTTACATCCTCTCTGTTCGCTTGCTTGAAATGCAAGGTCAAGAAGGTGCAGAAATAACGTACACGCAGTCAACGGCTATTGGATACAAGCGTAAGACTGGGGATAGAATTGCTGCCACTATGACTGTTGACATCGGTCGTATTGAGGAGGATGCCGCCCGTTGGTGGGCTGCCATCTTGGCTCCCGGTCAAGGTTGGCAGGCGATTGTTTCTCGGAGTGATCACATGGTGTACCTGTCGCCATGGTCTGTATGTGTGCAAGATGATCAGCGCTTTGGGATTGAGTGGTCGGCAGCTGGGTCGTCCTCGCAGGGTTCCATCGTTTCGACACCCGTATCTTCCAACAAGGCCCTCGGAATCTTGACCGGATTCTGTATGTTACATGACCTGGGCAGTCAGTGCTTCGCGGCTCTCGCAACGACTCTGACTTTTCCAACGCATAATCACTATGGGACCATAGCCACACTACCGTTTCCTACCAGCGTGAGACGCCAAGCCGAAAATGTCCCAGCGAATCTCACCACTCATGATTTGGCCAAATTGAGCGAAGAGCTTCCTCGTTATATGGCTTTGAGCTGTAATTATAGTGTCATAATGTCAAGTCTTTGCGGGGCGTTCTGGCAGCCCGAAATTCCATGTAACCTCGTCAGCCCTTGGTTACACCCTATTATCAACGAACTCCCCATCATGGAGGAAGTTATAGAGTTCGAGGGCCACTATCACGAAATTCTTGCCGTGGTGTGCGCCATCCGCCGCCCCAAACTCTCTACTCTTTGGCTGGGAGCTGTCATCAGTGGCCTAGCCCCGAAAATTCTTGATCTCGTCAAAACTGGTGCACCGCCCCTCGATCGCAACGCTTTCGCTTGGACGGGTTGTCCTCAATCTTTCATGGACCTTGCAGGCTCTGGGGCTTATTCCCAGACTGATGCTTGCGGCGAGAGAATTCGAAGAGCAGATGTCTGGCGTCTTCTCTACCTCCCAACTGTCGTCGATGACGATCTGCATTATGAGAATCACCCTTTTGCCCCGTGGGAGCCCTTCGGGAAGGCCAGTATGGAAAATTCAGCCGCTCGGATCAGGATTCATCGGTTCTGTTCTAGACACCATCTGGAGTACCAACACTGGACATGGCGACTAGAAAACGGGTCGACCTTGGTCGATCAAGGTTTGGAGATGTCGCCCGCCCAAACATTGTCCCAAAAAGTCAGTCCACGGTTCGAGATGACACAGAACGTAAAATTTCCCGCTGCAGAAGTCTCGCTAGATCAAGAAGCGTCCCGGACGGCATCATGGGAAGTCTTTCAATGGGTGACTAGTAATGGCGAAGGCGTGCCCCCCAACGAGCCGATATACAAGGACGAATGGGTGCGTGACGAGAGCGACGGTGAAGTACCAAGCAGACAACATGACACCACGGAGAGTATTATCGGACGGCCCAACTCAAGCACAGTCTCGTGTGTTACAATCGATGGCGATGAGGCGGTTTCACCAAAGACGGCGCTATGAAGTTTCTTCATGAAGAATTGATCAGCTGAAATTGGATGTCCGCCGAACGTAAAGATAATAAGACGGCGACAATTTTCGTAAAGGGTCCGAAGAGCGATATTGAGAAAGTGAGAGGACCCCAGAGATCTCGGCTGTAGGGTTGTTCATTGCTAAGCTTAATTACCGGTTGGCCTTAGAAAGAGGGCGAGACAAAGGGGCCAAATATGTGGCCAGATCCACAAAAGGGGCAAATTACCGAATCATACCCCGAAAGTACGAATCCTTACCGAATCATACCCCTACACCAAATCACACGAAAAATGGGGGTTTGATTCGGTAATTTGTCATTGCTTGGGGTATGATTTGACGAGGGTCTTGAATGATAGCTTCTTGATATGAGACGGTCTGATAATGGTAGCGGTAGGCTTACTGAGCGTCTGGTAGTAGTCGTCGACTTAATTATTAATAACGGTGGTATTGTTAGGAATCATTCCTTCGGGGGCCCTTACGGGGCCCGAATAGGGGTGTCTGCAGCGTGAAGTGCGGATACCCCCGGGCATGGCTTTCTAGGTTAAGTCGAAATTTCGCCCACTCGGCTTTCGTCTGATGTTTTTAGGCTGATAGAATTCTCATCAAATGCGGTCGGAGAAACTCCCTTATTTCTATGGTCGAGTAGGCCAGATCGCGGATTATCTCCTTCGTAGTTTAGGCCACTTTGATAACTTACTAAATCATACCCCAAGCAATGGCAAATTACCGAATCATATACCCCATATTTGAATGAAATTTGGTGTAGGGGTATGATTCAGTAATTAGGGTATGATTCGGTAAGGATTTATACTTTGAGGGTATGAATTAGTAATTCGCCCTGCACAAATGGCAGGACGGCAGCTTAGGCTTCGACAGACAGCACCAACTTGTACCTCGATCATTGATAAATCTCATTCCTTGTGTCCAGTAAAAGGCAGCTTGGAGTCTGGACGACACTTTTTTTTGGCAAATACATACACACACACACAAAAAAGAATGCAGGCGATATCATCAATGGATGAGGTAAAGAGGTAAGAAAGCTAGGAGCCTAGGAGCGCGGGAAATGATTGGCTGAATGCCGGGCCGATCCTGCGCAACCTTGAATGGAAAACCTTGTCAACTACAACTACTACAATTGCGGGCTTACAGCTCTCATCCGGGGTGAAACGGATACGTTCAGCATATGCTATGAGTTCATCCGGGGTGAAGCGAGCATATGCTGAAGCTTCACCCCTGCCGAGCTGTAACCCGTACAAGGGCGTCCTTGGGCCTTCTGCACACCGTAGTTTGTTGATTATGACCTTACCGAGTCGAGTCAGGAGGCTGAATGCACGCCTCCACTTCAGGCCAACCCTAGTCACAAAGCTCCGGTCCGATTTCGAACAAATCCCTCATTCCAAGGATTGTCGAATCGATGTGTGAAGAAAGTCAACAAGAGGTCTGGCATGGGTGCTAAGAAGAGCAAGTGCGAGTGAGGGAGGGATTGGTCTTCTATTTATTGTCTATCTCGCTGGTTCAAGTTGAAGACAAAGAAGTCCGGTTTCCTGTTCCAATGTAATTGGTTAGCAGTCTTATGGTAGCATTACTAACGTACAAGCCATGCCCGTCTCTGATTTGTCCAATCCTAGGCACTCTGCAAATATGTCGACGCTAAGCCTATTATGATTCTTCCCCACCAGACCAGAAAGACTCGCTTACGTGTCAGGCCAAGCTCGTCACAGCCATCTCCCCGCACTTGTTTGCGGCCACAAAGCTGATCAGTTCATCGTCACCAACTTTCTCATACCCTGTCAAATTCAAATCGAAGGGCACAACTCGATATTCAGTCTCGAAGTAGTTTCTTTTCTACAATCACCCGTCGTGTAAGCTGCAGAAGCTGTTCAGAAGAACAATGGCAGTCCCCGACATAGATATGTCTGCTCTCAAGGTGTTGCGCTCGTCGGAACAACAGAATCTTCTAGATGAGATTGACAGCCTTCGACTTCAGGGCATAAGCGAGTTCGTTTTTCTACCTCAGATCGTCGTCTGTGGGGACCAATCCAGCGGGAAGAGCTCCGTCCTCGAAGCCATTTCCGGTGTTCCGTTCCCACGTAGTGACACACTCTGCACACGTTTCGCCACTGAAGTTATCCTTCGACAAGCGCCTACCACTGAAGCAGTCGTCTCCATCGTACCCAGTCAGGACGCTTCCGAGGCGGATCGCGAAAGGTTGCTAGCTTTCAAGGAAACACTACAGCAACTAGAAGACTTCCCCCACCATATCGAACGAGCAAAGTCAGCAATGGGTATCACGGCGACCGGAAACGCCTTCTCGAAGAATATCCTCAGGGTAGAGATCTCCGGTCAAGAGAAGCCAAAGCTCACCGTTGTTGACCTGCCCGGTCTGATCCACTCCGAAAGCAGGAATCAATCCCCTGCAGACGTTGAACTCATCTCCAATCTGGTTCATTCCTACATGAAAAATCCAAGGAGCGTCATTCTTGCAGTAGTCTCCGCCAAGAACGACTACGCCAACCAGATCGTCCTAAAACGGGCTAAAGAAGTGGATCGTGAAGGGTTGCGAACGCTCGGGCTCATCACAAAGCCTGACACTCTCCCTCCTGGTTCGAATAGCGAGGCTGACTTCATCAATCTCGCCAGTAATGACAATATTCAATTTCGGCTTGGCTGGCATATCGTCAAAAATCGAGACTACCATTCACGCCATTCCTCGGCCGAGGAGCGAGACCGGTCTGAGGTGCAATTCTTCTCGGAGGGCGTCTGGAAAGAATTGCCTCGCGATATGGTCGGCATAGGTCCTCTCAATGTTCGCTTGAGTAAGATACTTCTGGATCAGATCAAGAGATATCTTCCCAGTTTGATGAAGGATATTCAATCGAGCATCGAAGATTGCAAAATGAAGTTGGTCAAGCTTGGAGACGGTCGCAGTACGGCCGAGGAGCAGCGTCAATTTTTGCTCAAGTTGAGTCAATCGTTTCAAGCACTCTGCAGGGCAGCAATCGACGGGAATTATGACGATAAGTTCTTCGGTGATCCATCTTCTGATGAGGAATATTGCAAGCGTCTACGAGCGGTAGTGCAAAACCTCAACCTCGGCTTTTCGGACCTCATGCGCAAGAAAGGTCACCATAGGACAATTGACAGAGAAGTAACCGAGGAAATTGTAGCCCCAACGCATCGTCCGACTTCAACTTCCCATGCTCATCTTCAACCTATTTCGATGAGCCGAGCGGACGCGATCGAATGGGTCCGAAAGCTGCTTATGAGAAGCAGAGGCCGTGAACTACCGGGCTCATTCAATCCATTGTTGGTCAGCGAGTTATTCCGTGATCAATCCAGGCACTGGGAACGGATAGCGCGCGAGCACGTTCAGAACATATGGATAGCGTCGAAAGCGTTCCTCGAGAGGCTTCTCAACACCCTTACCGATGAAGAAACTTTTGGGACGTTGTTCACACACTGGATTGATCCTATCCTCACTGCAAGATTCAAAAAGGCTAACGAAATGCTCGACCGCCTGTTGATCGATCGAGAAAGACATGCCATCACGTATAATCACTATTACACAGAGGTCTTGCAGAGCCTCAGAAAGGAACGTCAGGTAAACGAGCTCGTGGGCAGGATCCAGCATTTCATGGGCTCTTCATCGACCTCTACGCCTGCATACAGGGAATCTTCCGATGTTAGCAGACTAGCTAGGTCACTAGCGACTCAATCCGAAAGTGACATGGACGTATTTGCCTGTTCAGAGTTGCTAGACAGCCTGCGGGCCTTCTACAAAGTGAGTGCCCTTCATCCAAACCACCATCGACTTCCTTCTCGGTCATTTAAGACACCAATGCTAAGACAGAAGTCAAGGTAGCGTTGAAGACCTTTGTCGATAACGTCTCGATCCACGTGGTCGAGGGTCTCCTTACCAGTGACATCTGGTCCGTTTTCTCACCAACCGACGTGGGGCAGATGTCGTCGAGCCTTGTCTCCAAGATCGCGGCTGAGTCGACAGAGTCGCAGGCACTGCGTCAGCAGCTAAATCGAAAGCTTCAGACATTGGAAAGAGGCTTGGAGATCTGCCAGCGACATCGGAGTATTGCAGGTCAGTGTTCACGATTTTTAAGTCATCAAGTTGCCCCTCTGGAACTTGCGCGCTTACCAAGCGATGTAAGGGCACCGTACGTCTTTAGGACCTTCTGGCTCCCACGTGCCAGATGGGGGCGACAACGATAGTGTAATGTCCGGCGACCTTAGCTCGAATCAGTCGTTTCGGTCAGAATACAACCATCCCCAAGAGGTCGGTCTTGAAAAGATTATGCTGTCGACCCGACGTTTGATAACTAATATTTCAGCAGTTCCAATACGACGACAGCAGTCCAGTAATGGAGCGTCCAGTGATGGAGGTTAGTATGAATCCAGTCGCAATTGTCATCTCACAAGTAGGTATGATCCACTGACACATGAGCAGATGCAGTACGAAGACAGCTCGCAAGTGACCCCTCGATCTGTTGAAACCATAGTAGTTCCGACCGTGTTCGGGTCGCCTAGGATATCCCGCAGAATATAATCCGTTTTCAGAGCTGCGCTTTTCATATCGACAAGCTTTGGAGCTGCTGGCAATATTGCGGCTCGTACGTCTTCCATTCTCAGCGGCATGATCGCCAAACTTCCCTGGAAGTCGTGTACATCTTCCGCAACGTCTGATACGATCCAATCGGACTCGGTATCGGAAAATTTGAGATCGTAGCTTCGAAATAAATGAGCTGATGTGGCAACCCAGCTTTTCAGGGTTCTTACAGTTGAGGATAGAGTTGGCGGTGTTCAGTGTCAGCTTTTGAGCATATAGAGACCTCCCTTGGTCTTCTTTCTCCTTCTCCTTAATATTCGATCTCCAACGCGCTCGTTTGCCAACACTCGACGAAGACCCATACACCTTATGAATACTCACAACTGTATCCAAGTCTTCCCAGACCGCGAATGAGTTTCGCAGGACCTTTGTTAGATCCCTAGGTGTAGAGACATCAGAAGCCTCGAGCTGAAAATCTTTAATTCACAAGGAGACCTTGAAGAGTTCCTAACTAAGGGTAGTAGTCCTCGAGATCTTGGGAGACAATTCGGATCTATCCTGGAGCACCAGGAATCCCTGGACATAGGTTGTACAGCGTCCGTTATGTGGCGTCTGGCATGAGTATTTCTACGCAGTAGCCACCAGGCTGACCAGGCTTGCTGTAAGGCCAATGGCATCAGCCAGATCCTAAAAGCTGCGAAAGAATGAGTACGGTGGTTACAACATCACAGTTGACGCAGGTTACAGAAAGAAACTGGAAAAGTGAAAGAAAGACCTTGGAAACCGTTACTGCCTTCGCATCTAAGGTCATGTTGTTTACAGCGTCCATGGCTCAGCTGTGGCTGGGTCTTCGCCCACTAAGTATTTTATTATCCGCCCTTCCCGGGGCCCCGAGCACGCGGAATTAGCGCAATCGTCCCCAAAAGCCCGGCTCAGATCCCCGGCACCTGTGCCGTGATGTCATGCAAAACCCCCACATTTCAACGGTCCTGCGTCTCCCAAATTCCTAACCTCATCGATATCAGAAATCATGGCCGCGTCCACAGGCAAACGCATCGTGTTCACCGGTGGCTCGGGAAAAGCAGGTCGCCACGTTATCCCTTACCTCCTCTCCAAAGGTCACTCCGTTCTCAACCTCGACCTGACCCCGCTCCCTCACCCCACAGTGTACACCCTCAAGACAGACCTCACAGACGCCGGCCAAGTCTTCAATGCCTTCACTTCCAACTTCCACATCAACCACTACGCCAATCCTCGCCATTCAGAGACCGTGCCCGTGGGCCCCATCGATGCGGTCATTCATTTTGCGGCGTATGCGAGGAATATGCTGGTGCCGGATAATGAGTGCTTTAAGGGTAACGTGCTGAGTACATATAATGTGATTGAGGCTGCGTGCAAATTGGGAGTCAAGAAGGTTATTATTGCGAGTAGTGAGACGACTTATGGGGTTTGCTTTACGCAAGGAGACAGTGATTATCATTCCTTTCCTCTGGAGGAGGATTATGACTGCGGTGAGTGTCACCTGCTTCAAGCCAGACGCAATTGGATCGCTGATGACGGATGCTGCAGATCCAATGGACACCTACGCAACGAGCAAGCTCTGCGGCGAGCGCTGCGCCCGAAGTTTCGCGAGGAGATTCCCGGGCACCGACATCTACGCGCTGAGGATAGGGAACGTCATCGAACCGCACGAATACGAGAAGGACTTCCCGGGATACGTCAACAAGCCAGAGACGCGGAAGAGGAACGCGTGGAGCTACGTCGATGCAAGAGATTTGGGTCAGATATGTGATTTATGCGTACAGAAGAACGGGTTGGGCTTCCAGGTCTTCAACGCCACGAACACGACTTCGTCGTTGAAGGTGCCGACGATGCAGTATCTGAAGGAGGCGGAGCCTAATACGCCTATTACGAGGGAGATGGGCGAGTACGAGGGCCCGCTGAGCAATCGGAAGGCGAGAGAGGTGCTGGGGTTCCAGGAGGAACATCCGTGGCATAAGTATGTCAAAGTGTAAATACGGAGATGGTCGATTGAAAGACAGGATGCCAATGTCAGCTTGGGTAGCTCAAAGACTTCACCGCATCTTCATGTTTACCCAAAAGTTTACTAGGTCTCACAGGAAGATAAGTTCGACTTTCTGATATCATGTGGGCTCCAAATTCAAACGTTGAGTGATTCATAGATAGAGTCTGTACTGACCGTCAGATATGTTTGAATTGAACTCCTCCGTTTTTAACAGAAAGATATCAACTGCAGCCGGAACCCTAGCACTTGTGAAACGGACCCGCCATCAGAGCTCCTGACTGCACCTCCACAACCACTTTCTCATGACCGTGAGCATACACGTCGCTTCTCCGCCGTGCTCAACGCGTCGAACCAGTTCGAAGAATCCCTTTACAGTATGCCACGGCTTCCTTGAACGAGAGTGATCTCAAAAGGTCGACCCGAGAGTGCCAATCGTTGATGACTCTTGTTCAAGCCATAGGGGTGCTGCATCGGTCGCGCATCCTTATATTCGGCCCAACTTAAACAACAGTTCGAAGTGTTTCCTAGCCGGCGCCATCTCCGTCTCAGAATATCCTGTGTGGACTCCGCTCCCATATGTGACAATCATCCGCGTTTTCCAGAAATATGGCGCCGACTTCGCGATCGGTAATGATTCGTTGGCACGTTTGGGTCCATGACTGCGTTTTATCCGTTGATCTCGGCATTGGAAAGGGTCGTGCTGCGATAGGTGGGGAATGTCTGGAATCAGTAGAAGTGCTCGCGCGCTTCGGGCTTTTTTCGAATGCTCTGCACGTTTCGATTCGTGCGTTGCTCTGAGCGAGGTCTGCCTTGTGTGAGTATCCCGTGATCATGATCTCCGTCCTGCATCTCATGGATGGTCTCCTCTGCAAATGCGTACCTCTGCTCGTCCGCATGCAGTTCGTGTTTTCTCGTCTCCTCGGCTTCAAGCTCGTTTTCCTGCTGGAGGTAAGGTTGTACGTCATCGGAAGAAGTTGAGCGGTCTGTGTCGATGGCGGCGGCGGCGGCGATTCTTCGCTTCCGAATGGTATGCCAAGCCAAGGTCCCGAGTATGATCAACTGAACAAGCAGTCTTGAACACACAACTTCAATCTTCTCCTTGGGGGTAAGACTCTTTCGAGCCCCACGGGCGGGGATGAGGCCGTGGTACCTCGGCTCGTCGATGACGGCGAAAGCGAAAAAGACGGAGATGATGTCAGATTCACGCTGGGGCCCGTTTCTGTGGGTGTCGCGGCCGTGACTTGGATGAGTGCTGTTGGCACGGCAAGTGGAGTACGGGGCTACAGCTCGTGAACCCTAGAAAATCGACAAGGGACGTCGTGGCATTGTACTGAAGCACACCTCACCATCATCGACAGCCGGTGGACTAGTGAGAGGATATTGGGATGGCAGGGTTATCGGTAGGCCCTGCACCGTAACGCAGTCACCATTGCCACTGGCGGACGTTGGTAGCAATCTGGTACGCTGAGAATACCAGCAATACGTCAGAGTTGGAAACACTGCGAGAGAACGTCAAATAAAACATAACGATGATGGTAAGGTAGTCTCCGGACTGAACCAAACCCTCCATCGTCGACTGTTCGCACGTATAGAATTGTCGTCGTAGATTCGGCCGCGGCGACTGCGCAACCGATCGAACATGGACCGGCTAGACAAGTCAGCCCATGAGAGTATCAAAGAGCCATATTGGGACTTACCGGCTAGATCTTCTAGTGGATCGGTCGACATACTTGATGACGTCTGGCCTGCGCACAGCTCCAAAAGTCAAAAGACGACTTGAACTGCCAAGCGCTATTCAATATACCAACAAACTCAAGATTCTGCGACGGATTTTTACGACAGGGCGAAGCATTGTTTCATGTGCCACTCAATCCTTCAGCTCGTGCAGCAAAGTCGTTGCTGTCGATCATTGGCTGAGAGTAGGTAGTCAAGAGGTTCTGCAGGCTTCAATGGTAACGAGATGGATTGGCTCGCTTACGACTCAATGATGCAAGTGTAAGGCTGTTTGAGGCAACCACATCTATGCCAACTCAGCCCCACTGCTCGAATTCTCTCAGCCTCAAACCTGTTTTTCATCGGGAGGCGTCGCCTCCACGACCGTACCCCGGTTCCTCTTGTGAGATTTCCGCCCAGCCCACACTCTGAAAAAGGTAGCTGCAATCACGACAATTGGGACTGCGATGCCACCAGCAATTGTTTGCCGTATGACATGATCTTGCGGCTTATTATTAGATGTGAAAGGCAAGGTAGTGGTTGATTTTGACACCGCGCTGAACAGGGTGGAAGACGCCGTCGCTGATGAAAGAGACGAGGAGAAGGATGAGAGTGAGGCCAATGATGATGACAATGTTAGTGAGCTTACCGCAGCGTCTGCGGCGTTCATTGAGGCTACCACGGCCGCTGATGCACCTGCTGCTCCGATGGCTGTGCGGAATTTAGCACACATACAGCTAGGGTAGCCGAAACGGTGATTTACAATCGTTCAGAGGATTGTTGGTCGTTGCGGTATTTGCCGCGGCCGCCATTGGTCAGAACGGTGAAGGGTACGTTCTTCAAAGACGATTGGTTCCTAACTACGAGGACACATGTTAAAGCTAGCTAGCTAGGTGCATAGGCTTGGCCACAAGGCACGGCTGGAAAGGCAGCTGCCACCCCCACAGCGGTCTCGCTCGCAGACTTGGAAGCAGCTGCACCACAGCCTGATGGGGTAAAGAATTCATAGATTTCGTCGACGGTAGATGGAAGCTTCGATATCAGCTCCCAGCTTTTCATACTAAGACCTCCGACATGCGCCATGTGAACGTTCGCCTGAGCTTCTTGGTCTCTAATTTCTAATCGAGCAGTGCCTGCGCTTCCCCCTCTTCTCTTGCGAAGCCGGTGTTGAATTTCCCGATGCCCCCGACCCAGCATCCCCGCCTGCTCGATCTGCAACTCCTTCTGAGTTTGCACACCGAGTCCGCGGACCCCTTTCAGGCGCTATCAAACGCTCTCACGTATAGCCAAGTTTTCAAAAATCCGTCTCACAGTTTGAACCAGCAGTGATTGCCCCCCAGGAGACAAACATTTGCGAAGAGCCCCAGACAAGAGCTAGCATCAACACCGCGGCCGCGGACAGAAGAGACCTAGATGGCATTGGGATGCGCTTGTGGCCTTTGATGAAGGCGTATATCAACCAAGCAAGAACTAGTATGTATGACAAGACGTAGATGAATCTCATGAGTAAGGCTTCATAGAACGGCAACGACCAAGTTTTTCTGATATCAAGATAGAGAACCCTGAGACGGTCATGGAGGATCGCTGTTTGAAATGGAGTGAGAACGGTTGCAAGAGCCCTTTCCAACGTCTTTCGAAGTATCGACACAGGTTCGTCTTGCCGTGGGGGAAGTTGAAGAGTGGGTTCGTTGCTGAGTTGAATGTAGTGTTCTAGGTTCGTTGTGCCCTGAAGTTTGAGGCCGAAGGCCCGCTCCGCCGCAACTAAAGTCTCTGCGTCTTCTTCAGCTGTGACGGTCCACCATGAGCCGAAAGACGGACGGCGAGGATGTGAAGCCGACGCGTTAATTCTGGCCAGCTGAATTGCAGACCTGTCAGCTCCATCCAAAGCAGTGACATCTGCCCCATGTTGAATGAGAACATCAGTACAAGATGCCGCACCGTACATTACGGAAAATGTTATCCATGTACATGATTCGAACCAACACCCTTTGCAATCAATAAAATGTGATATTTGAGCGTTGGCATGTGCTCCATTTTGCAGGAGAAGGTCGACCATGAAAGATCTTTTTCCTGAGATAGCAAGAAACATGTAATTGTACCAGTACTCTCTCCAAGGGGCTTGGTTGATAGTTCCTCCTCCGAAACCTTTTCGGTTGAGAAGGATTTCTGGCGCCTTAGGGTGGAGATGGAGCGCCCTACGCGATTTTAAGATACTACACAAAAGGTCTTGGATCGACTCAAATGATGCAGGCCCGGCAGTTCCCACTAGCATTCCAAGAAGTCGCCTGAAAAGTGCATCGGAGAGATGCTCGCTTTCATCCAGGAAGATCTTCAAGGCTAAAGAGCCATTTGCACCGGCTTCAAGGAGCATGCAAACAACTTCTATGTTCTCGGTCGCTGCTGCATTTCCTAGTAAGTTGGTCCTCCAGCTGCCTCCATTGACATCAAACCCAACTGCGATAAAGATTTTCATCATCACAATTGCGCCTGCTCTGCATAACAGTGACAAGAAATGATACGGCTGATCTTGTGATAATGTACGAAAGTGACTTTCGATGGAAGCTGTACCGAAGGTAATTTCAAACAGATTGTCCACAAAAGGTGTTCGACCTAATGAAGCCGTCGTACGGTAGCTAGCCAGTTCTCTCTTCAGCCGATTATGAAAGACTGCGTCTACATGGGCTAAGATGCCTATGAGACGTATCTGTAATGACGAGAAGTCATCTATCAGCCATGGTTCCGATGAGTTGAATAAAAAGTCCGGAAACCAGTCAATACGGCCCAGTGAACTTCGGATAAAGACATGCTCAAAGACTCCTGATTGCGCCGTCAAGAATCTGCCACCATGTTTTAGGTAGCTGTTTACATGGTTCCGTAGAAGGTTTCGCTCGTCGAGTGCCGTCTTCTGCAGGAGCCTCGAGAAGAAAAATTCCCTGAACAATGTTAGGCACTCCATTTTGACTTAATATGCGCCTGAAATCACTTACTGGCGCGGAAGACCGTTTTCCCCCAGAAATTCGAACATCAAAGATAATTGATGATAAGCATGATCAGTGTAGGTTCGCACGCTGGCATGCTAGACGAATTTAGCATGTCATTATTGAAGGCAGACTCGAGACGAACCCAATACCAAGGCATGGGCTGACCAAAGCCATCTAACATGTAATGCGTTGGTTTGGCTAGACCTTCTGCGAACGACGTTCGCACACCCTCAACATCAAGATTTTTGACTGCATTTATAAAACATGAGTTATAGTTGACCGTCAGAGGCTCCAAAGTCGCCCCCCAGCGCCACTGGCTCCCGATCAAATCGCAATTCAGCTTCATACTGTATCTGATCGCGACTCTTGACAGCCACCGTGGTGGCGCAAATTCCACTGCGATTTTTGACTTTGTGCGCACTTGTGGGGTCGAGCGTCTCGAATCCCTAGTTTGTCGAGTCTGAATCAGACGGATCTGCAGCGATCCGATCGGCAAGCGGTGGAATCGATGGTTCCAGAATACTGTAGTCTCTGAAGTGGCAGAATCCAAGGCTTTAGGGCGGGTTGACGGCAAATGTACGCTGTGTTCAACTGTTCCGAAGGTGATGTGATTTCTGAGTATTTGCTGTAAGTGGCCCTGACATTGACTGAGCATAGCATGAGTGGTGTTGTGATCTTTGGAATTGGATGATGATGCGGCGATCAGGCTGGACTGAATGGCTTGAAAGCCTGCTTCATTCATATCGATGGACCTACCCTGTTGCTGGAAGACTTCATCCATCTTCTCAGTATTGAGCTCATCGTATTTGGCATGACCGTCCAAGTGAGCGAGAACAGTCTGATGTCTTACTTCATTCGCCGACTCGGTACCGGTAAGTTGAGACGATACCCTTGATAAGCCATCCTTGAACTCAGCACCCAGTTGACTCGTGGATTGTGAAAGTTGAGAGGAAGCAGTCCGGAAGCCAGTCCTATCTTCGTCGCCAAGTTGGATGATACTTTGGGAGAGTTTATCGAGCTTTCGGCTTTCCAAGCGTAGAATATCAGACTCCGAGTATTCTTCGCAAGAATGATATGTCACTCACCCACAGACCATCGCTTGTATGCTCGTCAAAGTGCCACAATGTGTATCGATCTTCCTCTGATATTGTTCAACCTCCTTCTCACTAAGTATCTGACGAGCTAGCAGCAGCATTTTCGAGCTCTTCAACTTCTTCTTGAGCAGAGGTTCAACTTTAGAGAGGACGGTTTGTAAGCTCTGCACGTCTCGCTCCATCTGTGCGACTGAACTTCCCCACAATTGCTGAAGCGTCTCTTGCGGTGGAGCAGAATTCTGGTGATCTTGCAACTGCGTATTCAGTTCCGTAAGAAGGCTTTCGAAGGTCCGAAGTTGCTCCAAGAGGTCTTCCACATCCTTTGGAGCATTATTCAACTTATCTCGGAGGTCGTAGATCTTCTTGGAGCTCGCGGCAACGAGTCCAACCATGGTGATAATGCAGGCGGTAAACGAGAGGGGGTCCATCGCGAGTCACGGTGACCTGAGGCATCTATGGGTTATTTTTGAGATCAGAAATCTTTGAATCTCTGCCTGTTGAAATTTGATCTAGAATGTGCGGTCGAATCAGTTTTGAGGGAGTGGGAATTGAGAGATAGCAAAAAAGAAGTCGAAGCAACGAAGCAACGAAGCAACGAAGCATTGCAGCCTTGCAGCCTTGCAGCTTGGCAGCTTGGCAATTTGGCAGCTTACAAGGTGCATGCCATGCATGACACATGGCGTAGAGACTGGTCAGCCAGCAAATCATGGTGGCATAAGCAAAGGAAGTGCGGAAATTTTCCGGGTCATAGGGAGGTTTAGCAGTTTTTATCCAAGATTTCACACTTCTCAATTGGGCAATAATAAGGCTATCTAACAATATACGATAGAGGTTAACGTAGTCGATAATCTAATAAGTATAAACTATTTTTACTAAGTATAAAGTATTTTTATAAACTTATTATTACGTTTTTAATTATATTTATTTCGCTATTAAGATTCTATATAATATTTAATATTTAACATATAGAATTTATATCGAGATTATAATTTTCTTATCTAAAAATATTATAATATTTATTATTTAAAGAATTATATTTAATAAGAAGAATAAGATAAAAAGCTTTAAAGTATAATAGAATAATTAAAAGAAGCTTAAATTCTCGAAAAATAAAATATTACTTTAAAGTTATATAATAAAATTATCGATATTATTATTATCTTAAATAAAGATAAAAATAGAATATATAATAGATAGCTAATTAACGCTTTTAAGAATATACGAGTTTAAATCTATAAATTAAATTCATAATCTATTTTTTTAATTAGAGCTATCGAGTAAATTTAATAAGCGAAATTTAATAAGTATATTTAAATTCTTTATCTTTAAATAATTATAAGACTAAATTTTAAATTTCTTAAATTATTAAAATATCTAAGTTACGCTTTATAATTTAAAAAAAGAAAAGATTTTAATAGAAAATAAAAAAGTTATTTTAGATTTATATAATATTCATCGATTTTTTAATTAAAGCTATCGAGCGAACTTTAATAAGCGATATTTAAATTTCTTATCTTTTAATAATTATAAGATTAAAAATTCTTAAAGCGTTAAAAAGTATAAATTATAAAAAAATTAAATAATTTTAATAGAGTAAAAAAATATTATTTTATTTATAAATAACGTATATATTTTTTTTATAATAAGAGAGCTTAAGAGTAAGAGTAGAAGTACTCGAAGCGAATTAATAGACTCGCTTATGTTATTTATTAGATTATAAGCTACGCAGCTAAAGCGAATATTTAATATATTTAGCGAAGTCTTAAATACTTATAAATTCTCTTTCTTCTTCTTTTTTTTTTAATTATTAATTTATTTAATAATTAATCTATCTATTTTATTAATTATATATCTAAATTTTATAATTATATAATTACTATATAGTTTTATTAAAAGAAACTTTACTATCTTATAATTTTAATAACTTTATTTATATAAAATTATTTAATTTAATTATAATAAATAATTTATAAATTAATTCTATTAATTTATAAAGTAGAAACATCTTATTATAATTAATTAATAACGTTTTTAATCTAATAAACGACTTTTATTAAAATACGTCTATTATATAATTAAGTAATTATAATATTAATTCTAATATCGATAGAAATTCTAATAATATTATTAATAAAAATAATAATCGCTAAAGCGTTATATCTAATAACCCTTTATTTATAAATAAAAACTCTTATTTTATAAACTTAATTTAAATTTAACGCTATCGACTTTTAGAGCTTAATATTAAGAAGTAACTAATTATCGAAAAATTTAAATTAATTAAAATATAGAATATATAAGAATATCGTTATAAATATAGCGACGATTACTATTATAATTTAAATTATAAAAAAATAAGTATTATTAAGATATTTAATATTTAATATCTTAATAACTATAGCTTAATAATTATATTTCTTTAAAACTATAATAATTTTATTGCTTTAACGCTTTATATTAATTTTTATATAGACGAAGAAAAGACTTATTAGACTTCTATTCTCTTAATAAATATTAAGAAGTAAATTTAAAGAAATATTAGAGATATAATATTATACGATATCGAGAAATCTATCTAGAAGAAATATTAAAAATAATATTTAAACTAAGTTTATAATTTAATTATTAAATCTTATAATATAGAATACTAATTAGCTAAAATAATTATAAAAAATATATAATTAATAGCTAATTTTAATAACTATCTTATTATACTCTAATTATAATAAGATTATTATATAATTAATTTAGAATATATAAAAGATTTATAAAATAGAGTAATAAAGAAAATTTCTTTAAAAGTTATAAAGAAAATTACTTAATCTATTATCTATACTATATTATTATAATAATATTAAAATATAAAATAAAGACTATAAAAAATAAAAAAAGCTTTCTATTTTAGATAAAACTCGCTTTAATAATAAAATAAGTAATTAAAAAAGTAATAATTAATAATATATTAAGTTTAAGAGATAATATATAAAAAATTAATAAGATTAAAAGAAAAGTTTATTTTTATTAACGTTATAAAATTAAAAGTCTAAGCGAATTAAATTTAAAGATAATAACTCTTATATTAAGTTTAAGACGTCTTTTATTAAAATATAATACTATAATTATAAATAATTAAGATATTATAAGAATTTATCTAAATATTTAAATTATATTATAAATAATAAAATATATAATTATAGATTAAGTAAGAAAAAAGAGATAAAGTCTAATACTTATCGCTATAATATTAAATATATTATTAATTAAATAATAATCTCGCTCTCTATTATTAAGAGATAAAATTATTATATTAAATAAAAAGCGTAAGATAACTATTCTAATAAATATCGATAGCGAGAAAATCTTTATATTATAATCTTTTATTAAAGAAATATAGATTTCTAAATCTAAATATATATTAATAATAATATATATTATTAATAATTATTAAATATTCTTATTATTAGAAACTTAATGATATATATAGTAACTCTATATTATAGTATAAAGAGAATACTATCTATATAGGATTATTATAAGTATAAGTTTTATAGTAAGATAGAAAAGCCGAAAGGCCTTAGCACGCTAAGCCTAATTAGGCTATAATATAAATAAGATTATAAGATTATTAAAATCGTGATATTATCCTTCTCTTTAATTTAAAGCTTCGGCGACGACTACTATATAGTAGATATCGATCTTATAAAAAGTATATCTAGATATATACGAAGTAATATTCTTAGATATATTAACTTAGTATTTTATAACAGATTTAAAATCTTTTTATAAGTCGATATAGCTATTATAGATTAGTAGCGCTAATAGAGAAGACTATTTCGAAGATTTTTTAAATAATAAATAAGGGCTAACGGCCTCGGGGTGATAATAATAGAAATCTACTATTAGATTCGAATATTCTACTATATTTATAAATAATTATTAAAATAGATTTTCCTCGATTTTAGAATCTCTATATCTAATTTTATATATTAGATATTCTCTTTTACTAGTTAAGAAATTATTTTTTTATTTATCTAATTTAAATTAAACTATTTCTTTAATATTATAAATTTCGCTTTCTTTATTAATATCGATAGAAAATAATAAAGACTTAATTTATTCTAATAGTAAGTTATTATTATTAAGATATAATAGCTATAGATAAAAGATAGAGTAAATATTATTTATAAAAATCGAAAATTCTAATTTATAAGCGAAATTATTTAAAGCTTTAGTAATTCTAAATAATTCGAAATTCTTATAATTTAGTAATTTATTAAGATATATAATTTTAATATTTCTTTTATTAAGTATAATTATATCTTCGATTTTAAATTTTAATATAGAAAGTTAATAATAATTAGCTTGTTTTTTCTATAAAGCTTATAATTATTCGAGTTAACTTCTTAGATAATTTCTTATAATATTTATTTTCTTAATAAATCTATTAGCTAATTTAATATCTCTCTTTATTTTTTAATTAGCGAATTAATCTCAAGAGATAGAGAGTTCTATTTCTAAGTAAGGAATATATTCTTTAATAAGAAGAAATAATAATATATTTAATAAGGTATTCTTATTAAAATTAGCTTTAAACTCTATTATTAGTAATAAATTTATCTAATTATCTTAATTATAATTAATATAAATTTTAAAATATTACTTTAAAATAGCGTTAGCGTTTTCTATCTATTTATTAATTTTAAAATAAAATATAATAAAGAGTTTAAATTTAGTCTTAATTCTTTCGTATAGTCTTTTTTAGAAATATATTATAAACTAAATATCTCGATCGAAGATAATAATAAATAAGTATTCTTTCTCTCGCTATATAAATTTAATAAAAATTTAAACTATTATTTTTACTTTTAAGAAGTTTAAAAAAATAAATTTCTTCTTCTTATTAAGTTTATTTATAATTATTATAATATATTAATAGAAGCGTTTATATCTAAGATAAATAGATAATAATATAATAAAGTTAATAAAAATATCTTATTAATATTATTTAAGAATAAAAAGGGATTTAAAAAGATCTTATTTATCTTCTTTATAAATTTTAGATCTCTTATATATATAATAGCTCTTAATATAGCGAGTAATAAAATTTATTATTCTTAATTAATAGTAGTATTTACTTAATTTATTATAAATTAATAATTTATTAGCGTAGCCTTTAAGTAAAGAGTTATAAATATCTTTAATAATTTTAGTTCGTAATTCGAGAATATCTAGTATATATAATTTATTATTAATATATAATAACTTATTATAAAGATAATAATTATTTAATTTTAATTTAAGATTATTCTTAATTATTTTAAATAATAGCTTTCTTTATTTAGATATCTTTAATTAAATAATTTTTTAAGTAATATTATTATAATTATAAGCG